CCTTGATGTGCTGGGCAGGGAACCAGGGTGACATGTGTTGCCTTTTCCAGTTATTTGACTAATGCCAAAATTTGTGTGCTTTGTAACAGCTGTATTGACCAAAGCCCCCTATCCCTTCTCTTGAAGGGATAGTTTGCAGAGGATGTGCATGGATGTGCTTGGTGCTCTTATCTCAACCCTGTAAGAATGGACAGGCTTAGGCCTGGGCTGAAACCTGGGAACTGGGACTCCTCCCATTCTGCTATCTTGCACACCTTGCTTGTGTCTTCCCATCTGGCACCTAGCCCCTGCAAGGAAGGGAAAGTCCTCATGCATTGTCAGAGAGCGAAAAAGTCTGCAGGTATATTAACGGAGCAGCTTGATTGTAACTTTATTTTTTTTAAGCTTGTTGAAAGAACAAATGCAATGTCAAAAAAAAAAAGCGCAATTAAAAAGTGGAAATGCCTGGACCGGGTGCCCACCTTGGCAGTTTAAACAATCTGCTTTGGGTTTCAGAGTTGAATCTACTGGGCAAGGCAAAAGACATGGGGCAGGTAGGAAGAGGCTTTCTTCCCCACTAGCACCAACTGGATGAGGATATAATGCTGGGCATATGATGGAGCAAGATGCACTGTACTTAATGCAGCACGGCTGCATCAGACTGCTTTATGTTCAGGGGCAAATTTTGCAGAAAGGTTGAGGGCTGCTTGAACTTCGCAAATTCAGCAGAAAGCTCTTGAGCATCCAAATTTGTCTGAGAGAGACTGGCTGGTGGGACATCTTGTTTCTGAATAAAAAGAAAGCTGATCACAAAGCCTTTCACCATTGTTCATGAGTGTGTTAATGGGCAATTCTGATGAATTGTAAACTAATTCACAAATTGCATCAAGTTGGGTGAGAATTTGCCTGTAGTAAGACTTTATAGCCCCAAGTGCTGGCTGTTGAATGTTCATTATCTTTAATACGAGGAAGAGCTTGCAAGGCCAGCCCTTCTAGCTGATTTATTGACGTTAAGTACAATGTACCTCTCCAAGTTACGTTGTGTTACTGCAGTAACTGAAAGTTTTGAACATCTTTATATGCTACACTTGTATAGGTTTTATAAAATTCCGTAATCTTAATTTTAAATAAACTCAAATCACCCTAATTGTTGTAAATCTGGAAAATTTATATATGTCTTTTCTTATGAAAGAACACATCATACAGGATGTAGGATGGTATGAACAGGAAAATATCTACTAAACAGTTGGGAGGAAAAAAGATTGCAAAATAAAGCCCATCTGAAATTCAGTCTTGACATAAATGCTCAAGTGTCAGAGCAGTCTAACTCCTAGCTAGACTATGCCGCAGAAAATACCTTTCATCCTCACACACCTATTACTGTTTAATGTAAAACAGTTGAAACATTTTGCATTCATTAGGGGCTCAAGTGATAGCTTGAGAAGAACCATTTACTTTTTACACACAAAGAATCCTCAATTCTTAAACTTTATCTCCATGATAAAATAATGGTGTGCTTTCAGCTTGTACAGGTGCATCCCTCCCAGTTGTGTTCTGGTTAGCACATATCCTGACTCCAACATGGAGGGGTGGTGGGCTAACCTGTGTGAGGGATGGGCACAGTAGGGATTGGGTTCATTCCTTGCTCCTTGGCAAGTTCTGTAGCTGAGGGTACAGTGGCTATTTGCTGGTGTTGCTGGTTAGGTTCAACAGGAATCTTGCACTTGCAGTCTTGGCCCATCTTCCCTCTTTAAATGAGTGGTTCTCCATGGATGGGGTCACTGATGGATTTGCAGGTTTTGATAAGATCCATAGATCTGATCCTTTCTAATTGCAGCCTCCAACCGAGACTTTTCTTTCAGGTGCGGTGTTCAGAGCAGCTCTCTCCAGTGGGAATGTGATTACTCGTAGCTGTCCACCTTTGTCTTCCATGTGGTCTAGGTGCCACCAGAGTCATTCCAAGCAGCTGTCTGCTGGTATCAGTTACATAGCTGGAACAGCTGGGGTTGTCCTGGCATGGAAGGATACTTGACAAGACTAGGGAGCTTACTTGTGCAGAGCCTCACTCAGGATGTTGGGTTTTCTTGGCATATATTAAAATACAATGTATTTACCTCTTTTAGTTATGGAGGACTTAGCTACCCCTCTGTCACGTTTAGCTGAAATTGTCCAGAATGTTCAGCAGATGTAGAAAAGGAAAGGGAATGCATGTGCACACGCAAATCTCATTTCTTAAGAGAAACCCTCCCTCCTATCCAAACGACCTTATTTAATAGAGAAGTTTTCTTAAAGTGAGCCCAGTTGTTTTGGCTGACTGCTTTGGATATAATCTTTGAAATGATTGACTATGTTAAATCATGACAATTAGGTCTGACCATTAACCTCCCACAGAGCTGATTACGGGGATGGGGTGATGAGGAAGTTTTTTATTTTTCTTAGTGCTATTGTTTCAGTCTGTTTGCAGAGTAAACACAATGAGTGTGTCGGTTGATTACACTGCAGACCATCTCCCAAGCCAGAGGAGACAGCTATTTAGTTCTGAAATGTGAAAACTTGTGTTTTAGAGAAAATATGCTCTGCAGAGGTGTTGGGAAGGCTCTAGGTCTATGCACCTGTGCCTTTCCAGCCATTCCAACTGTTTACTTACTGAGTGACTGTTTCTAGAGTGTTTATCCCCTTACTTTAGCTTCTACTCAACACAGTCATATACATACCTCTGAGAGACTGCACTCTGGTCATTTCTTTAAAGTTGTTTCAACTAAGTTAGAGCAGCAGAGATTGACTCCTCCCCTCCAGCATTTTTACAGACAAGCACAGCCCAGCTCTTAGAAGATAAGTTTTTGAAGGGCATCTTGCCTTTAGTGCTCATAAATTGGTTGTGACTGTTGAGGACTGTGAGTGCTCCGAGTAACAAAAGGCAGTTATTGACTGTAAGGGAAGATTGCTACAGGAAGAAGGGCAAGTGGTATTTTGTGCATTGCAATGGGCAGCCGCCCATGCGGTGAAACAGCCTAGATTTAGCTGAAGGGGAGCTTTGTTGAGGAAAGGAGAATCCTTGCCTGGAATAATTGCTTCTGAGCCAGGGAGAATTGACTACTCCAGAGTGGGAACAGGCCTTCAGCTACCTCTGGCACAAATAGCGGGGCTGTTGCAAATCTGATTTGAGTCACTAACAATAAGGCATTGAAAAGGCAAGCAGACCTAGTAGTTCTCTCTGTCTTTCCCTGGGCTCCTAATGTATGCTCAGCTTCACTTGCTGAAGCAAGCCTGTAACAACACATGTATATGTGGAAACATGAAGGACAAAAGTCTTTAGAAGAGGCAGCAAAAGGTCAGGCAGGAAGGTCCTCAGGAAAAAAAAAAAAGGAAAATTCTAAAAGTCCAGTTATTTTAGGTGAAAGAAAATTATAATCTGTACTGTAATTGTTGACTGTATTTTCTGATACAAAGCTACAGAGTGCTCTCTTCCCCCATGGAGCTCATATAATTGTGCTCTGTGTACCAGATGGATTATTTTGTTTTTCATTAAATAAAGAAACTTGTAAACAGTGCTCTGTACCGTAGAGATTATAATCTCCACCATCCCCCTCCTCTTCCTTAAACACTGGAGCACGCACTTTGCAGGTTGGACTCAGACCACAGCGGAGTTCCTGGCGAGGCCCCAGCCTGCTGCTGATCACTGCGGCTTGGGGGCCGGGCAAGGCGTGCTCCCGGCGTCCGAGAGCATTTACTGCGTGGGTTCAGTTGTGCTTTTATCAAATCCTATTTCTGAAAACAAATAAAAGGCTCGTTTGCACAGTGTTTGAATGCCACTCTCTGTGCAACAGTGGCGGTTGGTTGGGTTAGATCTGTGGAGCTGGCACTGCTGCGGTAGGGCAGAGCAGAAAGAGGAGACTGAGTAACGAACTGGTTTTCACGTAGAAGATGGCAAGAAATGTTTTATGGAGGTCACCAGGAATAACTGCTAGTTTCACCAATTAAGTCAGTATATTTAGTTATTCTGCCATCTTTGCAGCTTTCAAATTTTTAAGATGTAATGTGTTAAAAGTTTCATTGTGGTCCTTGTAACTTGAGCCACGATTCTTGACAGCACTCTTGCAACACCCACTAAGCAGCACACCCTTCACTCTATTATTTCTCTGCCTAATCCTACTGTCTCATGTAATAGGAATGCAAACTTTTTTTTGCATAACTCTTCTATCAATAAATTTATTGAACAGTTCACAAAAGCAGGTGCTATTATCTTCATTTATGTTTCCATTATGCTGGAAATTGCAGCCATGACTGTGGTGCAGCAGCTTCTCTCATGGTGTACACAGGCACTGGTCAGTTTGTACCACTTTCAGGCTGGAGGAAACTGCTCTACTGCAAATCCCACTCGCTAATGGTCTTGTGTGTGTTACCATGGGTCTGTAACTAGATGTGGTGAGTGATAAAGTGTGAATTAAGACCAAATATGTCAACTTCTGTTCCATCCACTGGACCCATTGCTGATGTCCTGTTATGGAAAACCTCTCTGAAATTACTGACAAATTGTATTCCAAAAGCAGAGAGTAGCTCAATTATAAGGTGTACTCAGTTATTAAATACTCTGTTTAGGTGAACCCTAGATTAGTATTAGATGCTTTTTCTTGTTTTTCATTCATGTCTTATGTCAGCTAAATGTTGGGGTTTTTTCCCTAATCAAGTGTACACCTAGCAAAAATACTGGGGAAAAATGTTCTTATATTGTTACTTGATTTTTTTTTTCTAAATAGTCTTAAAATATTTTGCTAGCTCTGTCTGTATATTAGTAAAAATACATTTGAAATATTATCACAAGATCTGCACACACTTAATTTTTTTTGTTAAGTACTGAAGATACCTAATACTGATAAATATTTATGTCAACAAGTGTAATGCAGAGGTGCTTGCTTGATGTAATCATATAACTTTAATTGAGCTATTTAATGTTCTTTACCATGCCTTGTGAATAAAGTAATCCCTTCCGGATCACAATTTTATTCTTCCTGTCTATGCAGTAACAAGCGACTTGTGGCCTTAGTGCCAAATGACACTTCATTCAACACCAGACGAGCCTACACCAGCGAAGATGAAGCCTGGAAGTCGTATTTGGAGAATCCCCTAACAGCAGCTACCAAGGCTATGATGAGCATAAATGGTGATGAGGACAGTGCTGCTGCTCTTGGCCTATTGTATGACTATTATAAAGTAGGTAACTCTGTCATTATCCCTCCCTGCTGCACTAGCAGGGACTGCTCTAAGAGGCATCAAAAGAGCCCGTTTTCAAAGACAGAAGTCACTGCATCTTGTTTTCTTTCTGATACTTGCAACAAGCACCCATTCCGTTATAGGAAGCCTGTCTGAATCTGTTTTGATGTGTTTAGTTCTAGAGAAAAAAAACCCAAAATCAGAACTCCCATGTTAAATTTTCAGCCATGTTTTCTTTTTGAGCATAGTGTTCTTCTTCTTCCCTTGAAAGAACATTGGATGAATTAGGCCCCCCCTTTTTATTTGTGCTCAGATGCCTGCAATATTCTTAAAAAAGTATAAAAGGGTAGAGAAGCTTTGTCCATCTGTAGGTTTGTCTGCTTTTCTGGTTCATTCCACACGTGTTTTAGTTTGCTCTTTATCTGGAGTATCTCTCATCTGACAGTTTTCCCATGTTATTTTTGTTTGTATAATGATTTCAGTAGGCTGTATACAAACATACAGTGAGGTATGCTAGTGAGGTCTAGCCCTTGCACTGGAAGTTTGCTGTCTAAATAGAAAGGTGGAGGACAGAAATGGAGCTGGACACAGGGACAGAGATCTAAGTCAATTTACAGGGGAAGCACTGACACAGTTTCAGTTTATGTCAGGTTCTAAACCCAGGCTTTACCTACCATTTCAATACTCCTTTTTTGTATATTTTGTAGTGTTTAAATAGAATTTGAGATTTCTGCTGAAATTGGAGAAGAATCCTACAGGGTGCATCTCTGTGTAATGCACAAATATCACTCTGAAACCCATGCTGACCCTTTGATACTCTCCAAATGGAATCAGTGTTGCCTCCCAAGCACTAGAGTATGAAATTGTTCATTTCACTTTAAACTATCTCCATACTCCTGAAGCCACCTATGGCTGCCTTGGACAGTTGATCTTCTCTGAAAGCCAGTACAGCAGTGCCAGCTCCCCTTGCAATTCGTGAAGAAGTAACAGGAATGGAAATTAAAAACTTTTGCTTTTAGTACATTGCTATTAGTATAAATGATTTTAGAGAATGGATTCTTCTTTTTAGTCTCTGCTACAGTAGTTAGATGAGTGTTCAGGAGAAGGTGTTGTAGGCAACATGCCATATACCAACCTTAAATATTGTTTTAATTTTTTTACTGATTATATTTCAAGAGATGTTTCTTGCTTTTGTGTGTTCTTGTCAGTAAAGAAAAGCTTTTCCCCAGTGAGAAGGAAGAAAGGTCCTTTTCTCTACTTAGCAGAGTTATGACAGTGCCAGAATCTGTGAAATTAATGTGGATTCATAAAATTCAGGTTGTATATGAACAGCTGGAGTATTGGCTTCTGTCTTAGTAATACTTTTGTATGAAGCAGTTCATTAATCTGATAGATTTTTAAAATAAAACCAGAAAATAGCCCTTTTCCTTCTCAAAATTATGTTTTAAGAAACATGCTGTTACTTGTTCCAGGCAGTTGCAAAAGACTTGAGGTTCAGATGGAATAAGATGAGATTAACATCTCAAAGCCATTTCCAGCATTCAGTCATAACTATTTTTGTCCTAAACTGGGAAGAAATGATAACTCTTGCCGATACTCTACTCTCAAACAGGAACTTAAAACCTAACCTCTGTACCGTAATGTGGAAATGTAAAGGAGGACTTACAGTGCACCAGACTCTTGAATTGCCCTTATTTATTATCTGGCTCATTTGTTCTGACATGCTGGATAATATTTTTGAAGTAGTTTTTCCAATCAAAAGGAATGATTTGACCTTAACTGTTTAGTTTTTTTAACTTCTTCTATTTCTTATAGTGATATTTACATAAACATAGGCCCTCCTTCAGGGATAAATATATGATCTTAAAAGGGGAATCAACATGTGCAAACTGTGGCTTTTATCCCAGTTCAAAAATACATGAAAGAGGATTTTTAACTAGCAGGATGCTTAATAGGGAGAAGGGATGTCCCTAAGAGAAGGAATGGCTCTGACTAGCACTCTCTGACTCTGCTGCTGTCTTGCAGACAGAGTTGATATTATTGTTGGCTACTGTAGTTCACTGTAAGACTGTTTTTCCTCTAAATTCAGATATTTTCCTGATACTTCTTTTCTTTAAAATGTTTAAAGATAAAAGGCATGGCTTTAGCCCATTCTTAGGTCTTTTCTTGCTCTTTAAACTTGAGTTAACTGCTGTGATGGAGTGGATATGCCTTCTTGTTCAAAATGCAGAAGTTTTAGCTCTCAAATTGCTGGTTCAGCAAGAAAAGAAAATATGGTCATGGCAGCAACTTTGCCCTTGGTGATTTCATATCTGTGCTGGTGTCAAGAAACCTGTATGTGGGAATACAAATCTTTGAAGTCACTTGTCAATTCTGAGTCTGTCAAGTGGCCAGATTTGACTGGATTTTTACTTCTCATAGCTGTTGATACACTCAACAGAGCAGAAGTCGTGTTTCTGATGGCATGCCAGCGTGCCCTGACCTGTCCCCATACTAGGAAAGGGAAAGATTCGCAAACTTTCCCTAGATATGAGTGCTACACCCTCCGGGCTGGTCTGTAACATGAGGACTTAGCTGGTGCTTATGGTTGAATTGAAAAGTCTTTTTCGTCTGAGCTAAAATGGTATCCATGCAGAGCTCATCAAAGCATCCTATCTTTCTTCTCTTCTTGTATTATTCAGTGAAAAGTGTGTGTTTTTTGGAATATGAGCTTTGATTTTGAGATAGCTTGGCCTAGCTTGATATTCCAAAGGACAATACAGCAGAGCACTTTGCTCCAGACTGGTGTGCCCAAGAACTAGAAAAGAAAACAATTCCTACTTTTTTTCCCTTTGGAAATTTTCCTTCTGTTCACAATCAGTCTCCCAAAATAAAACAGCTCCTGGCACCTGTGACCTAGACAACACTAGTTGTTACATTTTTCTAGTTGTTGCAGTAGAGCAATCTGTAGCTGCAAATGCCTGACAGTTGCATTTACCTGACCCCATGCCTGGTGTTGTTCTCAGGTTCCCAGAGATAAAAGGCTGTTGTCTGTTAACAAAGTGAGTGATAATCAAGAAGACCAAGATAAAAGGTACAGTATTATTCAAAATCATACACCCAGCTACTAACAGTGTTGATTAGTTGTGAACTGAAGGTACTGTGATAGCCTGAGGGTTTATGGTTTTCTTCCAAAAGTTAAAAGAATGAAGGCTGTTTTGGGAAGCACACTTCACTCCTTTTTACTTTTAATTTATTTAAAAAATTGTGTAGTATTATCTAACATGCAGTTTTCAAAGTAGCAGAGAGTTTCATTATTTGTTTGTGTTTGGGTTTGTTGTTTTGCTGCTGCTGAGATTAGTAAAATCAGATTATATTGACAGTTGGCTGTGGGCTATTTTACTCTGTTTTTTTCTTCTAGGGCAAAAAATGATTAGTTTGGCCTGAGTAACCTGATTTATAAAGTTTTATTTAACATAACTTAGGGTCTGCCCAGAAAATAAGGTAACTTTCTTAAAATCATCCGCTTAGAATGTTTTTCTCACTCCTCTCAGATTTCAGCTTTTCTCTGTAGGCTAAAAGTGACTTGATTCAGAGGAAGCTTCCTCCTACCTTACTGCGGACAAGAAAGAGTGTATATTTATGTAGAAAGAACTAAGTTTTTACATACAGGGAGGTATCTTTGTGTAGAATTATGATGGAGAGAAGCTACACAAGGTTTATTTCAATGTAGCTAATTTGTGACAGCCTTAGACGGTCTCCACTAGCTGCATAAGGTGAAAGTTTAAATAGGTAGTAGTATAAGTTTACTGTTTCAAAATAGACTATGAAATGTTTTTTGAGGGAGAGTTTTTCTTGTATGAACACCAGAAAAATTCCTAAATTGAGTGTGATTGACAAAACTGGCCTTAAGTGGAAAGCCAAGAGAGAGGAACTGCAGTGCCAGACCATCTCTCCTGGTTTGAAAACAGCAGTGTTATACCTACTAAAAGTTTTACAAGTTAATAATGTTATGTCAGTGCAACTATTGTCAGAAATGAATTGCTTTCAACAACAGCTGTGGTTAGTCATGGGAATGCTGCTGGAGGTTACCTTGCAGCCACTATAGTTACTGATCTACTCTGCTACAATGGGATTCCTGGGCTTGCTCTTTCAGAAGAGCACTGATACCAGTTACACAAACAGTAGTGGCCTGTCAACAGCCTAGAAGAGCATACATCAGCGTGTGAATTTTGCCGTTGATATTCTGCCTATTTCATGTGCAAATTACCTACTGTGAGTAATCCATACCTTGCCTTACTCTTTTATTCTTATTTTGTGTCTAAAGGCTGTTGCACTGCTGGACTGATTTTGCATCCAAATTGTAAGCCAAGGCAAGAGCAAGCCCGGATACCCAGAATTTATTGTAACAAGCCTTACTGATTGTAGGTCAAACCAAATGTATTATCTTTCCCTAACTGTCAAGAGCTCTGGACCTCTCTACTTGCTTCGCAATTTCTTTTGCCTAGTATTTGTTAATGTATTATTTCTTATGGCAGTGGCTTATCAGAATTAAAAGACCTCCTTCCCTGATATCTAAGGACATTAAGCTACTTGAGGAGAAGATTTACTGTGTCAGGACAGTTTATAACATTTTTTGGTTTTGTCTCACAGAAATTGTCTTAATACCACGGAAGCTCAGAGTAATTTAAGTGGGGGAGAGAACCGTGTGCAAGTCCTGAAGACAGTGCCAGTTAACCTTTCCTTGAACCAAGATCCTTTGGAGTCATCCAAAAGGGAATACAACACAAATGTGTCTGGGAGCTCAACACCCATCACAGGGACCGGAGTGACTGTGGTTAAAGCAGAGGAATTCACCCCTGTATTTATAACCCCACAAACACACTATGCAAGAGGAGAAAACGAGGAGCACCGAGGGGTTATCTTTGAACCATACGAAGTGTCCAATATTGCTCCCCACACAAATTATCTCAAAGATGACCAGCGCAGTACTCCTGACAGTACCTACAGCGACACCTTCAAGGATGGAGGAACAGAAGTAAGTTTTTCACCTCAAATTACCATCTAAGACTCAATAAAAAGCTGTAAACAAGATACGGATATTTGAGCTTGTAAACAAGATAAGGAGATTTGAACTGTCCTCAAGAGCCATTAGAAGAAAAGTGTTGCTTGTTTCAACAAATTCATTTCTGCTCCTTGCTGTGTTCCTGTCAGTCTGTGCTCTGATTACAGGGGAGCATCATGAGGCACTTCAGAAGACAGTTTTAAAGATGTTTATTGGAAATTCTGAGAATAATAAATATTGATCTTTTTGTCTTTTGGGATATTGTGTCAAGTAGAGGATAGTTGCAATTCTGAAAGAAGATTTATTTATCATTAACAAGATCTGCCTTCAGACCTATTCATAATAGTAAGAAATAGCAGCTGCTTTGTGATGGGGAAATTCTAGATATTCTTTTGAAAGTGCAAATGAGCAGTGTCAGCCTCTGCTGCTGGATAAACCCAACTAATTTGTTCAGAAGCTGTCTGTTGCAGAAGCTGTATTCTGCAACATGGGCAAGTGAGAAAAAGTAGTTGCATTGGATGAGTAGAGGAGAGTGGAGAATGTAACAGGCAAGGAAAAACTGCATGTATATGTACAGGAATGAGGAGGAGAAGAGAGAAAAGGAGCTTCCTTAAACTATTTTACAGTTATGCTGAGTCAAAGTAATTTTACAGTCAGCTTTAGTATGGTGAGTACCCTCTGGCTGCTTTTGCCTGCTGCAGAATAATGCAAACAAGCTGGAAATGCAGAAGGGTAAAGACTATTTAAAGCTGACAGTACCTCTGCAAATAATTAGAGATATTAGGTGGTAAATCCCCCCTAGGGTTTGTCTCCTCCCAACTCTACAAAATTGTAAATGTTACAAAAGTGCAAGGCAAGCTACCTTAAGGCTGAGCTACTCTGATTGAGTATATGAGAAATTTACTGTGTGTTTGTTTATGTGTATTATAGAAAACTACATGGTCTTCACAAGCAATAGATGAGGATGTCTGGAGGTGAAATCAATTTTCAGATATAGAACACGTGTAGGTCAACTAAGTGAATTATTATTGAAGAAATCTAGTTTACCATTGTAAAATCAGTAGGATCAAACCTTGAATTAGAGACAGTGCTTTACATTACCAAATCACATTTTTTCAGCTGTTGGTGTTACTGGTAAGTGGCTCTTCATTCGAGCCCAGTGGTGCCGTACTCATGGCTTTCCCTGGGGTGCTGTAGCAGAGTGATTCCTTTACATTGGTTTGTTCTGGGACACGTTGCTGAGAGGTTCCCAAACAGCCCATTTGTGCAGAGAGCTATCAAACACGCAAACTTGTTTAATTTGGCTGTAAAAAGAGACTTGACATCTATATGTTGGCTTTGCATCCCAAACTCTGTGTTGTGTTAATTTTGCTACAAAGGTAATTATTTTGTTACATGCTTTTTAAAGTTATTGGTTAATAGCAGGGTACAGTACTTGTCATCTAGACTTTCTGTGCAGTCTGTGGAGAAAGAATCAGTTAAAATCCACTTGCCAAAAGCCAGTGGAATGGTTTGCCAGGTGCACTCACTCCTCTTCATCTTCACCTCCCCTTTTAACTGTAGAAGGGAGACTGAACAACTGACTTTAGCTACGTCCCCATCTGTAGCTGTTAGGTGCTAGGTGCGGTGTATACCTCTGTTGGTGGCCTTCTAGCCCCAAGTGTTCAAATGCGTGTGGCCAGGGAGCAGGAACAGCTTTTCCACCCTGCTGCAGCCTCGCTCCACACACTGAGCCTGTCCCTTTGTTTTTTCTCAACTACCCAAATACCAGGATGCGCTTTGTCCCTGCCATGTGTGCTTTGACTGCTTCTCCAGCCACACACTGTTTCTGTAGGGACAACTGGATGAAGCAGGTGTGGGGAGACCATAAAGTAAAATATCAAAACATACAAAAAGAAACGTGTGCTAAATTAGTGTTTAGAAGTAGAGTATAGTTGCACTTACTAGTTTTCCTAAGTGCTTGGAAAGTACTTCCTGAGTTGCTGAGAATGACTGAGTTTGGAATTGCTCTAATTCCTGCATAATTTTAAAACACATTATGAATACATATTTAGAAATCGTTTCAAAGCGTTTATGGAGTGACTTAGTTCTGTTGTACTGAAGGAGTGCTGAGTTTTTATAGATCCCTGTGGTAGGGGACACTTCGGTTAATCTCTTGCTGTGTTCTTCAGATACAATTTTAGCAATTATATAAATATACCATTCTCATCTCTTTCATATTCTTAGTTAGCGGCGATTAATTTATTAGTCCTTTATAGTATAAACAAATTTTTTTTGAGGTTAGGTAAATAAATTATATATTTTTGACAATGTCAACCTCTAACCTTTATATAAAATGTGATTAGCATATTTATATTCACTCAATTTTTTAGGTATTTTAAGCTTTAAATGGCTGATGATTTCTTCTGAGTTTTCCTTAAAAAAACATAATTATCCTTCTCTTGGTATTTGCATTTTGATTGCATGAAACTATATTTAATTGGTTTTATTTTTCAGAAGTATCGGAGTGTGTCAGTGGGGGCTGAAGAATATATTTATGAACAAACAAGGTATGGCATAAACTTTGAAATGTATTGACTGGCATCACACAGGCATGTGTTGAGGAGAGGCTGTCTCTGTCCACTTCCTACCCTCCCTTTCTTCAGCCTGAGGTGCCTGCAGGGCTCCTTAATGCTGCCAGACATCACTCTCCTCTTGTTCTCTTGCTCATATTAGCTTTCAGATCTGGCCAGTTTATATCTTCATCTATTACCTTTCCCTCAGTATTGTTTTAAATTAGTAACTCCTCTGAAGCCCCACTGAGATATGTGAGATTAAAACTGTTAAGAGAGGTCCCCCAAGTAACAGGGCACAGCCTTGACAGCCAGGACATGAAATCTTTCCCACCTTTCAGGATGCAGAAGACAGATGTCGAGGATGGTTGAACTGGCTCCACCAACCTTATGTAATTCCCATCTTTACTTTTCCCTTCTGTTTTTTTTCTGGTTACTCCTAGTAGGTTGTCTGTCTTTTCACACTGCTTGTTGTGGTACTTCATATTTACCTATAAAACAATATAAACAAAGTATCTATTACAAATAATGTGAAAAAACTTAAGAATTCCCAAAATATTTTTAAACAGCTTCAAAAATTGAAACTTGAAAAGTATAGTGTTCTCCCTCAGCACAGAAAAATGTATGTGCAGCTTGGGCAAATGCTTCAGAGTCCCTTTAACCAATAAAGACTGTAATCACTTAAGTTTTTAAGCTGATGCTTTATTTCTTGCTTATGAATGATTCTGTTTATATCTGAGTGATTACTCTCACTTTAGAAACAGGAACATGCCTACATATTTTTCCTGGATTAGGCATATGACTGCATCTGTGTTGAAGGTTCCTTACAGCCTGATCTTTCTTCTGAAGAGGATTAAAACAGTCATTAACTGCAGTGAGCTCAGAACTGAGTCACTATATAGGCAGAACATATGCAATAGATATTTAGCAGACTGCTCACTTACTACATGGAATATTTGTGAAGTTGAATCCTGAAGCATTGGTATTGTTAACAGTTCTCAGACATTAGGCCCTTCATGCACAGGTCCACATTAGAACAAAACCTCTGAATGTGCATTAAGAAATACAAGATATGTATTTCCTGAAGTGGTAGGTGCTCAGAAATTAAAACTTCAGACTGAAAGAAGAAGTGGTGAATATGAAAGTAATTGGAAGCCTGATAGAAGATCCCTTAATGACTACACAGGGGTTTAGTTAAGACTCATGTCGAGGTTCAGAATAATATTATAATAATTTGAGTGACTGCAATAAATTTTAAGGGTGAGAGTAATCCTCCTGCTCTAGGGCACACTTTGACTGCCAGCTGGGAACAAGAAGTAAATTCACAAGTGGTACCCCCCTGGTGGCCTAGTGGTTAAGATGCGGCACTCTCACCGCAGCGACCCAGGTTCGATTCCTGGTCCCCCGGGCAGATGGAGCTCGTTAGCCCTGTGAGGCCATCCGTCTATGAGAAGGTCACTCTAAACAAACCTACGTCCTGAGGACCTCACTGCCATTGTCCAAGCTTGCTTGGCCCCGGCAGATGAACCTTAGGATTAAAGGGTGGGCTCAGTTCAGCGCAGGCTGTGTCTCACCTAAAAAATCCATTGCGCAGGCTTGAAAGGTAAAAGACCTTTCCCAAAATCTTCATTCGCGAAGACTGACCATTAAATTAATTAAATTAATTAAATTACCCCACAGAGACTGGAAAATTGGCCAAGTGCGATGTGTCTGGGATTTACATTTTTTGACATCTTTCTGAAACATCCAGAATGACAGGAAACAGAAGACCAGACTGTGGCAGACTGTAGGCAACTCTGTTAAGACACTGTCTGACTTTGGATCATCCTAAGCCCTTCTCAGCACACATCATCATCAGGCCTTCTGTCTGGTGGGAGGTTTTGAGGTGCATGTCCCAGGGCACTCAGCACGCCTTGATATGTGTCCCGAAGCAGTCTTGCAGCACACAACCTGCAGTGCCTTCATGTGACACTAAATCAAGGCTGTGCCCCTACCACCAATGGGTGGTCAATCCCTAGGATGAGCAGGATGGGTGCTGGGTCTGCAGCACCAGTGGTATTGCTCTTCTAGTCCACTCAGACAGGACCACACTGCTTGCTGGTGTCAGCAGTGCTTCTGTTTCCCTTGCACACAGGACAGGACCGTGGCAACACTCCCACAGCGAGTGGCAGAGGAGGGGACCACGGGGCCCTTTGTGCTGCCTTCCCACTGTGTGTGAGAGCCTTTGTGTTGGGAGCAACTGCATTATTGGGACGTGCCTGTTCTGCCATCAGTGGTTGGATAGGTATAGATGAGTGTTTGATTTTACCTTAGTTTTGCTTTGATTTAAAGCAACTAGAACTTTTAAGCAACTGGAAAAATGACTGAATTTCAATTTATAAGCTAAGAAACACTTAGAAGTTGTCTTTGTTTGATTAAATGATTGCTACTAAATAATTGGTACTAAACTGTCTGAAACTCTTCCCTTTGGATGGAAAGACAGTGGATCTGTTGGGGTTTTTCTACCTTCTCTTCGAGTGGGGATTTAAATGTAATTATTATTCATACATTTTAGTGGTTCTTTTCCACTGGATAGTTAAAAATATTTTTGTTTTCCCTTTATTTCTATATTGCTATGACAGGGCTATGATGATCTGGAGTTCTTTGCTAGAATTAGAAAGTTAAGGATACACTGTTGTTTTGGACCAGTATATTCCTCCTTTTGATTCTGCTCTGACACTTAAATACTGTGTTGAATTAGGACTTTTGTGAAATAGCTTCCCCCACATCTCCAGTTTGTGAGGACATCCTGCAAGTGACTCCTTGCATTAAGCTTCCTGTGCAGTTTGAAGAGAAGATTATTTTTCATTTAAGAAAATGTGAGGAGCTGCAGGCATCATTTTTATTGGATTATTGTTCAAGCCTGTTACTCGAGGAGGCAGCTGGAAGAGGCTCAGTGAGAATTGTTTCCAGCTAAGACTTCACTAGGAAGGCTTTAACTTTTCATGATTTGAGAACTGATTTAAAAGTGGAAAGTTCTCCTATGAAGGAGGGTCTTTTTGAAGATCTGAAATTTCAGCACAAGAGCAAACCTTTTCTCTATTTTTTTTTTGTTTTTCTAAAAGGAGGTTACTTGGTTGCAGGATACAACTAAATGTAGGCACTTCGTTCTATCTAACTAATTTTGAAAATAAAGTTTGTAAAAACCTTGATTTGCATGTTGTCTTTAAACAAATAAACTTACTGTCCCTTCTCCTTGAATTCCTTCCCTGCACTGCGCTGAAATAGCAGTTGGACTTTTCATTCTCTGAGTCCATGTTTTGCAACAAGTTTTATTCTGGTTGGGTTTAAAAAAATAGTTATTTATTTATTTCTCTTTCTGTGACACTTCTAAGTTTAAATGTCTGTGGAGTTGGTGATTTCCTGCAAATCATACTGAATTCCCGCCTGGTATTTAACACTCTCATTGTGGGTTACATAGTCTTGTACTTCATAATGGTTCTTTTCAGAGAAAGTAAAGATGTAGTCTTTGATCCAAGAGACTTACAGTTCAGATACTTTTACCTTTCATTGCCAGATCTGATGAACTTGAAAAAATCCGTGCATTTTTAAATGGCCATGTGACCTTTTCCTGGAATTTTATTATTAGCTTCTTACGCCTTATGCAGTGCATGAAGTACATAATAAATGGGGACAAAGAGAAAAGGAGAAAGTGATACGGATTTTGTTGATGTTTCTCTCCTTGTCTTTTCAGCAGCACTTTTCAGTATACACTAGAAGCTACCAAGTCTCTGCGTCAAAAGCAAGGGGAGGGGCCCATGACCTACTTGAACAAAGGACAGTTCTACGCCATCACCCTGAGTGAGACGGGTGACAACAAATGTTTCCGGCATCCCATCAGCAAAGTCAGGGTATAGTCCCATTCCTTTCCTGGGTGGGAATGGAGCTCTCTAGGTAGATGTAGTTGTGGTTGGTTGGCTTTTAATAATTTTTTTTTCTTGTGGGAGAGGACAGAGCAAGCTTATTCTCATGCTCGATGTAAAGGTGGGAGAGCACCATACTGATGGTGGCAACAAATGTTTTGGGGTCTAGTTTTTTCAGTGTGATCTTATGAGTTAATTATATACATATCTGCCTCAGTGTGTGGTTTGGCAGAATGATTATGACACAGAGACTGCACTTGGCACTGATGAACTTATCACTGCCACGATTAAAGTAAAGAAATCAAAGAACAGCTACATCTACTTTGTAGTCCACCTTCACTCACTCGTGCACTTCATCAGCTGCTTTCCAGTGCATTTCAGATAAAACATGAAGAGTTGACTCCATCCTTTGTGACATAAATTTTAAATCATTTATGTTGTATAAGTATGAGCTTTCACTTGATATTCACCCATAAGTATGACAAAACGAATAATTTGCATCTTAAATTCCATGGGGTAGAACTGGAGCTTGTGTATTCAGCAACATCTGCTTTGGGGAATGGGCCTCCTGATTGCCTTGGTAATGTTTTTGAGTTAGCAAATCCTAACCTGGTAACCTTGGAATGAACAATGAGCTTCATAGTTGCTGCCCTGTGAATTTTACCCTGGAGCTGGCAGGGCTGCATATGTATGAAGCTGCGGAAATGTTTTCATCCAAATAAACTAAGTACTGTAAGAATGTTGTGACTTCAGTAAAAGGAACCGATGAAAGTCAGTGTGAGCAGTGAAGCAGACAACAACCTATATATATCTATCATACATAAAGTTTAGAAAGACTCGTCCTAAACAGAGGCAATGATTTGGAAACCTGGATTAGCAGTTAATTTCTAGCCTGGTTTCCTGAGGACACGAGGCTGTAGTGTTACGCTGTTGGCTAAAGCTGATGTAAGATTTCTCTCTTGCAGCAAAATCTCTTTCCCTGCCACCTGTTCCTTCCCCCTTTGTGGTTCCAGCTCTAGCACTTGCAGAACTGAAACAGGAGACAGGAGCTCACTGGTCTGACTGAAAACCAGTCCTCATAGGCCTGGTTCAGTGCACAGCCACATGAGTTTTGAAGCTGTGGCAACAGAAGGGTTGAAGTTGCAAAAGAGAGATGAGACCACATCCTTTTGGAGGATGTAGTTTACAGAAGATTGTGAAACCACATGCAACTTTCACGATCATGTTCTGTTTACCAGGGCCCTACTCAGGCGACTCTTGAATTTATTGCCAATTCCATCCAAACCTGACAGAGGTGCAAGAGGTTTTGAAGGTATTAAACCTCTACAAGTTCCATGTAAGTGTTTCATAGAGGAAAAAGATTAGTGCTGTCCTTGGTGGAAAAGCTGGTTGGCATGGTCAGATCTGGTTAGTGCATCAGCTGGCCAGCCAGCATGTACCTGATGGCCAGCCAGTGTGCACAGGCATAACTCAGGGCTTGTCCATGGCGTATATTGCCTTGTGCCCATGCAGAGACTGGACATGGAAGATGTGGTGATGGTGTTCAGCTTCTATGCAGAAGGTCACAGAGCATGTGAAGGGTTACAGTGGTGACTGTGTGGAGGGACACACATCATGAATCAATCATGATCCAGCTCCTCAGCTTATGAAACAGCTTGATGATGGTTTGACCTTAGTGTCTTGAGGTTAAAGGAAGAACAGGAACAAAAGAGGATATTTAAAAGTGATTTTTTTGTTCTCTGTGTTTTTTTTTCACTTCAGTTTACCTGATAGGATTATTTATTCATTGTTTTGTGGGGTTTTTTTGTTTTGCTTGCCTACAGCAGGGCTTTTAAAAAAATCTTTATTGCTCATATAAAATTTTGCATAAAGTTTCAATCTGTTTGCTTTGAATCACACAGTTTAACAAAGGGAATTTAGAACATGAAGTGAAAACCTCAGCAAAACTCAGTAAATACATTGAGTTTGTCATTAAATACAAGTATGCAAGAGTTCTGCTCCCAAGAAGGGTGTTTTGACTGTGTATGGTAAAACTGAAAATGTCCTGCCTTTAGCCAGTGAGGTGAAGCTCCATAACAACACATCCCTTTCAGTGTAATGTTATCTTCCAGAGTGACAAAGAATCTGAACTCCATCACTTTGACTGGACTCAGATCAGAATTGGAATTGGAGATCCTCTCACTTTGAAATGACCACATTTTAGTAAAGGGAACTTAGACTTCTTAAGTCTAAGAATATGATTAAATTTTATTTGGACTATCAGGAACATAATCCTGGGCCTTGCATTATTTTCCAACTACATTTCCTCTGCCTGGAGTCCTTAAGTGCATTGCAATATTGGACTGGATTAAAACCCAGCAATCTTCTACAACCAAAGTATGAGGAGAGGGTGGTGACTGCCTCAGCATTAGAAGCATATAGGAGATTTTAATTTTTATGTTTCTGACTATTAATTATTTTAACTAATGTGGTTTCTGGTGGTTTTTTTCATAGAGCGTGGTCATGGTTGTTTTCAGTGAGGATAAAAACAGAGATGAACAGCTGAAATACTGGAAGTACTGGCATTCCCGGCAGCACACAGCTAAACAGAGGGTCCTCGACATTGGTAAGTGTAAGAGGATCTCCAGATGTTTCAGGGAAGATTTCAGATATAGAAAGCTCTGGTACCTTGCACAGTACTGCAGTTTTTGGCAATGGCTCATCCCTGCTAGAACTGGGCAACAGGGTCTATGGAACAGGATAGGGAGCGTGCAGAAGGAAGGGTTCTCAGTAGTTACACAAAAGAGCTACCCCTTGCATGCGTATTTAGTGATTTACCTTCTGCAGCTGGGAAGTCGGGGTCTGCACCTCCTCAGGGGTGGCGGAATGTTTGTTTTCTTTAGTTTTTCAAAGGCTGATCCAGTCTTTGATCCAGTAACAATAGCAGCCAGTAACAGTTGTGTTAGCTAATTGATGTGGGAGCGCAGCCTGAGAGTGAGGATGCCATCATCCTGGTGACTGCAGAAGAGGGCACAGGACTCCTACACTCTCAGACTTTGAGTCTTGTTGGTGTCAGCACTGAGGGAGAAACAAGCTCTGGTGTGCTATCCTGAGAGATCTGTTTACCGTTCATCCCATCTAAGGTATTTACAAGCCTCTTTCAGCCACAACTGCCCTATCCACATGCTTGGGAGATTTTAGCAGAAGAAGAACACGTACCTTCTGCCAAGGAGCCTGAAGTTTGAATCGGTGGCAGTGTCTAGACATCAAGTGCTTCTCCCCTCCCACGTGCAGTTTACACATGCAGCCATCTGCAGGATTCCAGTCAAAGGAGTCGGCAAGACCAAAGCAGACAAAGTCTATCTTGTTTTGACCGCCTGAGGGAACCAAACCATTGAATGGCAGGAATGAGAGGAGGCAGAGAGGGGTGCGAAAACAAAGCAGAGTTACTGGTAGAGAACACCGCAAGACTTCAGGGGCAATTGAACTGGGTGATCAGGGAATCAGTCCCTAAGTGTTTCTACTCACACAATGCCTTTAGCCTTTGAAATGCTGCAGCCTCCACCGAGCTCCACTTAAGGTCAAGTGTGTTTTGTCAAAGCCGCTCCTCGCTCCTCCCCGAATCTCCTCTCTGCCTCTTATCATCATTGTTCTGGCTGAACTGTTTCCCCAACTTCTTTGGGTTTTTTCCTTTTTTCTTTTCTTGCCCTTTGGTATAGTTCAGGCAGTAAAATCGTCACCCCAGACCAAATGACTCCTATTGTGACACGTTAAAAGAGCAAGTGCCACATCACAGCTATTTCTGAAGGCTGCCTGGTTTTTTGTACTAGTCACTACAAGCTTACAGTACTAAATGCTCATACCTTTGAAAGTATGTGCCCATGAGCTTGTTCCACTGCCATGCCAACACCCTCTGACTCCACTGCAGTTGTGGTGTCCTGGCACATTTCAGTCCCTTTTCCCAATGAGTCAGCTTATGATGCATATTCTGTAAAATAGTGCTATGCAAAACAAGTGCTGTACATGAGCTGTGTGTTTACCTGTGTTAAAGTGAACATCTTTTAATTTTCCATAGGTTTGAGATGAAATAGGTCTGTGCTGACTTTTGAGGCACTCTGGTGCATATTCTTTATTTGGACTGCAAACATGAGCACAGCCCAGTGTAATAAGACTTACTGATATAGCACTCCTTGTCATATGTAAGAGCTGTAAGAGCATGGTTCACCTCAGAGTTTTCAGAAGAAAGACCCAGATGTTGCTCAGTAGTGTTTTCTTGAGAACAACTGAAATATGGCCTTAGCCCTTACCAAGTATGGTATTTCTGAAGTACATTTATTTTCTTTGGCACTTACAGTATACCTGTTTGGTTTATTAGGCCAGTATAGCTCCCAACTACATTTCCCATACAAGTATCAAGCTGCATTTAGCAATCTCCCAGTTTTACCATCAAACGATCTAAATGAGAAACTTAATCTAAATTTGAAGCTGGCCCTCCTTGAACCAGATAACCTCTAGGGATTCCTTCCATGCAAAATTATATTGAATGACTCTATGAAGATTTCCCTTTACATTAAAAATTCAGGACCTTGTTAGGGTCCTGTAAAGGAATACTGAGTTAGTGTCCAGGCCCTGTGTAGTTAACAGAGAGAATTAGGTGTCTGTGTATCTGCATCACCTGTTCCATAAATGTTTATAGTCTTTAATATTATTTTAACTTGATGTTTGTAGCATGTTTAACATCTGTGAATTCTTTTTAATTGTTTATGAATGCACATTTAATCTAGAGAATGATGTGGTCTTTAGCAGGCAGAAGATCAAATGAGTTTGGGATGCTCTAGTTCTGGGCTCCAGCTGTTCAGCCCTCAGATAGGGGTGGGGACTGTGCTTGTGCTGCTTTCCACAGTGGCACAGGTCTGTCTGTCTGCCTTCTGGCAGTTATATTTTGGAGATCAGAGGAAATAGTGACTTGCTGCTTCACTCCAGACACACTGGGGTCAGTCACTGCTTTAATTTGTTTTGTGTACTGGCCGGTGCACCTTCTGGGAGAAAGGATGGTTGAATGGATTAGATGCAGTACCCGGTCTGTAGATGCATTGATATTTATAGCATAAGCTTGTACTTACATGTAAACAAGTCCTTAGTGCTTGAGGAATAAATCTGAGGGCTTGATGCTTATTAAGCAAGAAGGTAAGGCATTTTCTAAAATTTAGGCTGTGTGCTATAATTGATTTTTCTGAAGAAGGAGGAAGGCATGTTCACTCTTTTTAGCATGAGTAAAGAGGGCAAAAAAACCAGCTGTCTTTTTCACAGTGCTGTGACGTTGGATCACTAGCTTTTTCTTTTAAAATAATGTGAAATAAATAATTCAATACTAAGTTGCAGCAAATATTGATTATTTAGAATCAGTACAATGATTTGCAAAATACCAGAACAGGTTCAAATATGAAGAGTGGGTGTGGAATCTTCGTGCTCCAGAAACTTGCCTATGTTTTTTTGGGGGATAGTTTGTATTATTTATGTGCACAGCTTCTATATATATATACAAAAAAGCTACAAAGGCTACTACAAAGTTATGTAATGCACGATTAGTATTTAACATTAAAAATTTGCCATTGTTCACTATGCAGTTTGCGTAACACAAGAGGAAATAATTCCTGTACAGCCATTTTCTTGCATATTGAAAAACTCCGACTTTCTCTTTCTGTTAACTCACAGCAGCAGAAGAGGAAAAATTGTAGTCACTCTAACAGCTTTCAAATATCCTTGGATGTAAATTCTTTCTTAATCAACTGAAGATCCTTCTTTAATTGTCTGTAAATTGAGAGGAATAGGATACCCTTCTGCTTTTTAACAGCATGTCTCATAGACACTCTGTGAGATTTGTGTATGGCAATTAAGGAAGCAGAGGCACGTGTGGGGGGAAGGGAAAGGTTGGTGGGATGCGAGGTTTTGACAGCCTTTTAGGAGAAGAAAACAAGTGTCTTTACGAGACATCTTGTTCATGTCTTTCCAAAGTGCACCTACACAGCACGCCCATATGCAGCAGTCAGTTGCACAAGGCACTTTCTGGTGAATCATAAATTTAGAGGTGGGTAGATGTGTGCACATGCATATTAAACTACTTATGTGTCTTCTAATTCCTCTCATTTGCATTCCCATACTGAATTTAGATAGTGAAGCCAATGACTTCAGTTAGAAAGGAGATCTGAGTTCTTGGTGGGAATGAAAAGCCTGCCTGCCCTCTCAAATACTATGTTAATTTACTACATTAGCAAATATCTCGTGCTGTTCCTAGGGTCTGAACAGTGATTTTTTTATTGTATCCAAAACCATTTATGTTTCCCAGGGACACAGTTTCACTTGCCCAGTGAGATGTCAGCATTCCTGTGTTTTAGATGATAGAAAAGTATACTGATTGCGTGTCTCAAATGTTAAATAATCCTCCTTGCAGAAATGGTTTTGTTATAAATGATTTCATAGCAGTTATTACGTAGAAATTGTTTTTTAGAGACTAACAGTTTAGAAGAACAAAGGAAACGAATATTGAAACCATTTGTGTGCCTCACAGAATACAAAAACATCCTCTCTCCATAACTTATTACAAAGCTAAGAATCAGCATGCTTCTAAGGCACAGATTTGGGCAAACATTAGATCAAGGGAGTAATTTCAGCCCTCTGGCACCGAGTCCAGTTACAATCCTTGGGGGATTCTTAGGAAATATATATGTCCCAGAGAGAGTTGATGCATTTGTGTGAACAATCTGGAAGTTCCTTTAATCAAGCAGATATTACCTGGCACTTTTCTTAATCTGCCAACAACAAGAAGAAAGTGTGTTAAACTGGCCAGCAAAGGGAGAGAAAAAGGTGGCTTGTTCCTCTTTTCAATAATAAAGAAGACCTAGGAGTTGTCTGTTTTACATGGTTTTACACCCTTACTATTTCTGCGGGGGGGGACTGTTGGGTCAATTTTGAAATCTTCCTCCCTTTTGCTTTCATTCCTTGCTAAAAGCTAGCTTATTGATAATATTAACAGCCCTTTCAGAAGAAGTGAGAAGAAGGTGCAGATTTTGTAGTCAGACAACTTAAAAATACTCTACATTTGTTTGTTTGCAGTTTTAGTTGCATAAAAACTTTGGAAAAAGGATCTTTGTGGTTTTGTTTCTTTGCAGTTTTTTGTTGATTTGTTTTTTGTTTTTGTGTTGGTTTTTGTTTGGTTTTTGTTTTCTTTTTTTTTAATAGAGAAATATTGATCCAGCATCTGGTGCAATAATTCCTAAGAAAGTTGAAAGAGCTGTGCAAGACATGTACACTACTAATGGTATCCTTCAATTATACCTCTTAGCCTTTTAGAAAGCTTCTTCAGGATTTACTATAATGCTATGTATTTATGTCAAGTTTTTAACAATCTCTTTAAATGCTTCAATAGTTTTTTAGTTAATTTTCCAATTTTGGCCATTCCTTGGCCAAGCTAATGAAATGCACCTGCTCATTGCCACTAGAGTCACACTTACTTATTTTTGAGAGCAAGCAATATTTTGTTAGAACATCAGCCAGTGATATACTGTGCATATGACTCAAGTTGCATTGTATTACCTCTTTGCAATTAAGGTTATTAATAATGAATCATAAACAGTACAAGAGGTAGTTTTGATGCGTTAGAGAACCTAGACGAAGAAGCAAAGATGTACTATGAACTGTGAAAGTTCAATTTTTTTTCATGGGTCTTTTGTTTGTTTGTTTTGTTTGTTTGTTTTTTCTTACAGCTGATTACAAGGAGAGTTTTAATACCATTGGGAATATTGAAGAAATTGCATTCAATGCCGTGTCCTTTACTTGGGATGTCAATGAGGAGGCAAAGGTGAGGAAAAGCCATGTAGATGGTATCCCTATATAAATACCATCTATCCATAGTCACTGTTTCACTTCTCTCCTTTTTGATATCTAAGAAGGGTTGCTGGTAGGTGCCCAGCCTGAGAAACAGTAGAAATTTTTTTTATTTGCAAAGTCAGGTGTAGGACACAAGGTGAATGTTTTCTTTCTCTAAACTATCAACTTCCTTTCTACTATAGGAACATCTCAAATAATCAATACTTTGTAAGTTAGACTATACCTTCCCTTGTGTTGGTGCCATTATTTTTCATAGTGTTACACAGACTGTCCTTGCAATTGGGAACAAATGTATTTTTGAGGACTAATGCATTTTTTTTTTATTTATTTTAAATGGTCAAGTACCCTCAGGCATGGGGTTTTTCATTCAGGATTGTGACTGCTAAGTGGACCTATAAACCAGAACAGAAGAACACCTTAATGAGTTTCTTACAGATAAGGTTGTACAAAGGCTGTCAGAGTGCTTCAGCTGCGTGGAATAATGTGGGGAAAGTGAAAAGCTGCCGGTAATTCTAAGAAGAAGTTGGCCCCCGGAAGGCAAACAACAAGGGAAATAGGCTGTGTAAAATGAGTGAGGGTAATGCAGTACTCTTGGGGATGTAGAGTTACTAAACAGCAAACACTGTTGAGCTTGGCAAACTCCTGATACCGTTTTCATGTTGAATACAAAATGTCCAGTGTTCAAGTAATGCAATGAATCTTTCAAATACGGAGACATCTTCATGCACAACTCCCCACTGCATTTCTAACAGAGAATTAGAGAAATTGCATCGGAGTGAGTGAGTTCTGTGAGAGATTGTGTCAAGCACGGAGTGGTGGTATTAATGCTCACTGTCCTGACTCACTGACTGAAGGTGCTGAGGTTTGTAGTAACAGGGATTTTCATCTCTGATGCACATCTTAGAAGAAAAGACAATAGTTCTGAAAACCACCCAGCTCTTTCAAAAGCAGGTCTTGGTAAACAGAGTTGTACTTGGCCCAGTTGCTAATGTAGTTATATTTACTCATCTAATGATTACATTGCCACCGCCTCAGATACTTCCCTGTTATGTGATTCCATTTCGAGCTACAGCTGTATGTTGTCCTCTGCAGTCACAAGAGGTGACTGTTGTGTGTGTGTGATTATTATGTAAGGAGATACAGCAAATACAGATTTGGGATCTTCAACACAAACAGACTTTCTCAAGGACCTTTACAGAAGCGCGACCAGGGCTACAACATGGCAGTCTTGTCCCACTGGTATCTACCATCCTCGCTGCCAGGGCTGGCAGTTCTTTAACGCATTTGCATTTGCAGCTGCTAGCCAGACTGAGCAAGACACCATGTTGATCTAGAAACAAGAAAGTCACATCCACTAATGTCAGGTGTTAACCTTGGGACATTTTGTTCTAATCTCACACTGTTCACATTGCTCTTGCCTTGGGTGCCAGAACATGAAGAACACAACTGTTGCAATGATCACTGGAAATAAAACTAAGATTTTAAAATAAAGACTCTCTTACTGTTGCTGGATTAAAAAACTGTCAGGAGTGAAATTTAAGCCCCTTGTATTTCTGCAGGAAGTAGTAATTAAAATGCAAATTAGCTCATGCATATTTATTTTGGGGATAATTAACAAATATCTGATCTTTTAGGAGCTTGAACTGCAAATGTATTGATAAAAGTAAGAGGATTCATAACACGCTTTGGTGTTGGGCTATGAAGCATGAATCAGGCTGTATGTGAAAGGTTATCACCTTGCCTGCACTAAAGTGTCTCCCTCCCCGCACATGTACATGTACCCACTTGCTTGCTCCTGTAGGAGAGTCTAATACAATAACCAGTTGCACCGGGTCCGGGGATTCCCATAGGATGCCCTTGTGGTGTTGGAAAGCTGTAAACTCTGAGGCACGTCACTGAAGGCTGTTTTTTCTCCAACAATTACCTCATCCAAGAGAGATGAAGAATTTCAAGGCATAATTACAGACTCTTTTCCTAAGCTTTTTGAATGATGATCTTTCAACTGGCTCCATTGTTTCTGCTCAGTGTTGTTTTCTCTTTTCCACCACAATTTCAAGATTAAAACTTAACCCATTGAGACACAATGGCTTTTCTCTTTGGGGTCAGACAAGAGTAGCACAGAGCAGTTCTTTGCAGGGCCTCTGAGGTGGGATGTGATAAAGTGCTCTGCTGGCCTGGGAAGTAACAAAGAAAATGGACTTGTTGTTGGAAGTGCACAGGGGAGTGATCTGGAAAATCAAACAAAAGCAGCAGAAATCACATATCCAAATATGCCTGTCTCTCCTGGGAGACTAAATCCCGTATCTAGGAAGACCTATCTGGAACATCAGATTTCTCACTTTCCTACTCCACCTGGAGGGCAGCTGATTTAAAGCCCTATTTCTCATTTAAAGCCAGATTTCTCCTCCCACACACAAGCAGAGCAGACACTCCTCCTCCAAGCCTTTCAGGACGAGAGTATAACAGCATGGGTGTGGCAGCCAGAGTCTGCCTGCTAACAGTGAGCCTGCTAAGGGTTGATAAAGCAGCATCTCATGTGGGTCTTATGTGGAAGAAACAGGAATTCAGAGGCAGAGGCCTCCCTCTATTACCCCAGTAACGTGAATGGAACTGAGCTGTTGGGTCCAGGTCTCCGTGCTTGGTGCCTTGTCTTCCAGCTGCTGCTTGGCAGAACAAGTCAATGGAAAGGGAATCTTGTACAGCTCATGTCAAGCTGTAGAATAAGGAATCTTGTACAGCTCATGTCAAGCTGTAGAATAATCTCACTATTGCTTTGTGTGGACTAAGGAAACAGCACCAAAGTCAGAAACGCCACTCTGCTGGCGTTTCTTCTGCTGTATCTGGTTGATAGCAGTCCCCTTGCCTTCTGGCAGAGCAGAGTTTGTCCTGGTGTATTCTTACCCTTTTCTAGAACAACATTCTTTTCTGCTGGGGCCCTTATCTAGAGGTCGCTGTGGGGCTTGTGGTTCAGAGCAGGATACAGGAAAATAAGGGGAAGACTGTAGCCATGTCAAACTCTACCTTATGCTTCCTCAAGACAAAAATATTGTACTGTGAGGGAACAGAGGTAGGAAGAAAAGAACAGTTTTGTACAATCCATCTTTGTTTCACTTCTGTATTTAATTCTGTGTATAAATATGCAACATTTATGGGCAAGGTGATTTGTCAGCTCCCTTTGGTTGAACCTGAATGCTATGTTTGGTATTTTTAAAGGAGTTCTTTAAAAAAAGGTGAGGAAACAAACAACAATTAACAAGAACTGGATGACTTTTAGAAGTCTATTTATAATATGCTAGAAGGTAGGTAGTTGCCTTGCTGTTGCCCTATAAAAGATTTTTTTTGCAGCATCTAGCTGGTTGACAAAGTTCTAGTGGAGGCTTTTGAACAGAGTTCAGCTTCATTTTTGATAGACATTCATCTGTCTGCTTACAGTCTAATCACTGACAGAAGTTAGTTTGCAAGAAAGATAATTATGAACCAGAATTCTCCTGGTCAAAGGCGAATATATTTGTCATAAATCCTACCAATTCCTTGAGATATGCCTTTTCTGTGGTTGGCAATTTTCTAATTTAAGTGGTTTGGACGGTGTTAATTCTGAAACAATACATTAATTGAATATTTTTATGGAAAATGCTTTTTAACCTCAAATTCAAAGATGTGACTTCAGTGAGCAGTTGCTAAAGAAAAATGTCACCTTAAAGACATAAAAAATAACTTTCAGTGGTACCAAGAGGTTACTGGTTTCTGCTGAGAACCACAACTTGGACATGTGGTAAAGAGACATGTTGGTGGATATATAATTGAGGCAGGTGCTGACAAATGCCCTTTGGTGTGCACAGGAGTTGTGCACTCTGCAGTTGTTGTGTATACTTGCGTGCAATCATTGTCCTGCTGTATTTAACTGAAATGTAGATCTTTAATCCAAAGCATGCTGAAGCCTCTGGGAAGCTTTCCAGTTATTTAATGAGTTTTGGCATAGCCCATACAGTAATAAGCTGTTTTCAAAGAGTGAGTGATTTGCAGGATTAGGTTCTTGGATATTGTGGGCCAAAGTGAGCTCCAATTCCAGCGGGCACAATGGTAAAATCAAGCTTGTAGAGCAGCACTGTCTCTAGCAGTGATTTGTATTGTGACAATCCATATTTCTTTAACATTGCTAGTGATACTTAGGACAGGTTTTGACTAGTATAAGAATTATTTTGTTCATAATCACAAATTTCCTTCTTAAGTTACATTTAATTTAATTTAATTAGGAAGGAAATTAACATTTTCTCTACTCAAAATTTAAAGGTTGAAGGAAAAGATGCTTCATTTTGGGGAGTTAGTACCAGAAATTATGTAGGATTAGACTTGGCAACTACTTTAATAATCCATGTCTGTCTGTCTGTGCAAGTGTGCATATATATATATACATATATGTGAGACATGCACACACACGTGTATATATTAAAGAAGAGTTAACCTGTGGTAGCACATAATGTTGAAATCCAGTGTATGCTTGGTAAGTATGCATCTGGGATTCAAGGCAAATGGCATTTTTATGTAGTTGCCGGGGTGTGGTGTGGGTTGAGGAAGCTTCAAAAGAGTAGTGTAAACATTTGCTGGAGACATTTGTATTGAAATAAAACAAAGGGTTTACCTTTGTGTGGGATTTATAAGGTAACGGCTGGCAGGAGAAACTATAAAACCACACTTTTTGTGTATAGGAAGAATGATGGGATTGATGTTAGTCATTTGAGAGACACATCATTTAACTCTTTGTTGTTACAGTCTGGAGGGATGAACTTTTTAAAAACAGGGTTTTTAAAGACCCATCATCCAGGTGTAGGTGCTATGTATTACCAGTATTCAGTAGAGAAATTGCTGTAAGTTTCTGATTTTGTGCCATAACACACTCTTCCCTCCCTTCTGCCCCTGGCTCTTTCTGAGACAATGGGAGCCAGAAATGTAAATAGTAATGAAAGGCTTATATTAGAAGTTTCGTAACTTTAGACCTTTAAGGTGTTTAAGCTGAGAGATCACAGCAGGAGTCATGTTGGCTGAATTAAATGATAAAAAGGGAAATGCACTTCTGAGCCTTGTTTTCTCTTAAGGCAGCTTACTGTGTTTGTGTCTTGTACATCCCTAATTATGCTGCAGTATTTAACAAACAGTCAGTAATTCCCATAATAGCAGCTACACCATGGAGGAGTGCCTTCCCTGAGAGAGAGAGTGCTTTTTCTGGACACGCTGTATATCAAACAGAAGAGTTGTCCTTATCTTAGGCCACTTTTGAAACTTTCTCAGCACCAGATGTTTCTCCAAATTAGTATTTCATTACCAATGGCATGCCTGAGCTGGAGACTAGATGGGTGGAACTCTGCCATTAATTGCTCTAATCTGAGATATACTGACATTAAAAAAAAAAGACATCACTATAATGGCAACCTAATTGATAGCAAAACATTGTTAAAATCCAGTTTGCACAGGGGAAAAAAAAAGTTTGTAAGTGAATTCAGATAGATAATTATAGTCACTTTTATTAATAGACAAGTGTAGACAGAGCTGGGGAGGGAGACTGATTTCTCCTCCTGCTACTGTCATTTCTACTATGCAAGAGAACTCAGGAAGGGGGATCTTAAACCTAGGTATCTGCCAGGAGAAGTAGAGCAGTGTTTTTCAGACTCTTTCAGAGTCTGAAAATGGGGTTGTTTTGCCCCTTGTCTCATTGAGAGTGGGAGTACCTGTGTTATGGACAGGAGGTGAGGAAGAGAGGAAGATGAGGGTTGTAGAGGGCAAAGCAGGCTGTGCTTGGACAGGCAGTTGAAATCATTGCTGCTCAGAGCAGATCACTGTGTTGTGGAGGTGGTTTCTGGTCAGAGCAGGGGAGAGAGAAGGGGACTGTCCAGGTGTTTCCCCATAGCAGCCTGCTGCACCACTGTATTAAAACTGGTGCGAATCTTAGTTGTGCAAAAAAAAAAAAAAAGGAGACCCTAAAATCAACTCCAAGAACAGAAATACACCCTCTTCCTCTTCCTTCTGCACACTTCCCTTGTTTTCTGAATCTAAAGTCAGTGTTGTGCTTTACAGGAAAGCTAATAGAATATTGCGTGGAGACAGAAAATTTCTCCCAAATGAATGATCTATGTTAATTCGCATCCATCTGTCTGTCTGTGAGGTGCAAATGATATGACAGAAAGTATAGTACACTTCATGTACGTGAACGTACAGTTATTGCTCCTCAGAGAGATCCTGATGTATTACCATGTCAGGACAAGATATTGAATCTTACAGCACATATCTATTATTCATGCTGAATAATCTGTTATTGCTGTATAGGGACTCTTGAAATGATAAAGTCTGTCTTCCCCAGCCGCTCCTACTCTGCTCTGTGATTGTGGAGGCAGTGAAAGAGATGACACACAGTGTATGTAGTTGATTAAGGTGGGACAAGATCTTTTTTTACTTTTCAGCTGAGCGTGCAGCAAATGTTGCAGATGTACAAACTGCTGAGTAGATGCAAAGCCTGCATGTTCCCTCTCACATTTCAGCTTACAGTTTGGAAAATCCCTGTGCAGAAGTATGAGCTAAAGTATAGTGAGACCAGATTTCTGTTTTATGCCAGACCTCATTCCACTCCTGTATGTTCACACACACTTTAAACTGTTGCCCTGACACTGTAAAGGAGTCTGAAGGCAAACGAAATTCAGGCTGTTATATTTCAAAGGCGTATGCGCCCGTATCTACACTTACCTTTGGAGCTGGAGGAGAGACCAACTTGTAATTTGAAACAGAAAGAACACTATCAGCTTCAAAATCAGAGTTTCACCTAGGGCCCTTCCCCGCCTCCCTCCTCTTCCCGCAGTTAAAGTTCAACTATTTCGTTTGTAAATGCAGTTCTGTGATAGAATCAGAAGCAGAAAGTGGAGGGGCCATTAGCTCAGTCAGGCAAACAAGCTGGCTCCATCATAAAGACCATGACTGTAATGGTAACTTCTGCCATGAGGGTGAAGTATGCCCCACCAGCCCCGGGAGACCTTCTTTATTCTCAGCTGCCTTTCTTAGGGATGTTGCATTCTGAACAGCCACACGGTTGGTTTATTTTCCCTGTTTGCAGATTGAGGAGGGGTTCCTTCATGCTCTTCTTTCCTGAATCCTCCCAGACCAGGGGCCTGCTGCTCCCTCCTCTGCCCAGCAAGGTGTGCATCAGGTCTGTTTGAGAGACCTGTTTGAGATCTCTTCCTTCCTGAGTGTCAGGTTTCACATCCTCTTGTTTCAGGAGATACTGGTGGTTTTCTTTGTCCTTTTCCCTAGTTCACAGTTTTGGGATTTTGTTTGGTTGGTGGTTTGTTTTTGTTTTTTAAATGGAGGAAAAATTAAAAGTAGAATCAGGTCAGTGCATAATTGCCCCAAATTACTATGTAATGCACATAGTCCTCACTGGGCAGAAAACTGGATTTTTAATCCAGTGTCATTCACACTATCCTGACCAAAAGCTATCAATGGTATTTCAGTTCACAATGCTTGCTTTGCATCAGAATAGTCCTTGTGAGACTTTGGTGGTGGGAGATCCTTCTCCCAGGTCCTGTACAGATGTGGCAGATGAGACACACTTTGTCCCATGGTACCAATGGAGTTAGAGAGCAGGAGACGACTAGTGGCTGTCAACTAACATAAGTGGTTGTAGAAGAGCAAGAGGTGGATTTCTGAAGCACAGACAAGTAGGGGGCTTGCCAGAAGCAGAATGCAATGTCAAGTTAAGTGGTTGCTACATGACAAAGAGGACTTTTGAGAAGAAGTAGGCAGTAGTTTTATCAATGTTTGAGCTTCCCAGTTTGAAAGACAGGATGAGATGCATTTTTGAAATTGAAAGAAGACAATGAAGGACCCTTGAAGTAAAGATCAAGGGTATCTCTTGATGGGATGGAGGAAGGGGTACCCTGATGACAATGTGAAGAAAATTTGTAAAATAAAGGGTAGGGCTTATCATTGCCCCACTGAATTTGAATTGTGAACTGTCAGAAGAACAAGCCAGACCAAAGGCAGCTGGAAAGGAGGAAGCAAGAGATCTCCGTCTCTGGAGGTTTTTAAAGTAAGGCTGGATGTGACACTTAGTGCCATGGTCTAGTAACCACAGTGGTAGTGGATGAAAGGTTGGACTTGATGATCTTGGAGGTCCTTTCCAACTCAGCTGATCCTATTTGCACTTTTAACAAATAGTGCAAACATACAGAGCAGGTTTCTAGAATGAAGCAAGTCAGGGCTAAAGACCTGACATCCATGTAAGGCACATTTTGGGAGGTTTTAGATTGTCTTTAGTCAGTTCCCATGAACTGAGCAACCATTAGCAGCTGGAGCAACTGAGGAATGCTCATAGGACACAACTTCTGGTCTGGCTCTTCCAAAAAGAATCCAGCTCATGTACTCTGAGCTCTCTGGTGTGAACCAAAGCATGGTAAGTTGGGACAACCAAATGATTCAACTCAAATGTGAGCTTCTGATCCAAACTGAAGTGCTGATACATGCCTTAAAATTTTGTCCTACTTCACAGGATGGAAGCATCTTTGTTGGATTTAGGACAGAAGTGGAGAATAAATGTGTGAATTGCCAGAGAATGCATCATAGCTGAATTAATAACTGTTGGGTTTTTTTGGGGGGTGGGTAGGGTGGTGTATCTGCTTTTATTTTCCCATTTGTTTTCATGTGTTTCTGGAAGTTTAATCATTGTTTGTACCCCACTTTAAAAGTAATCTCTGTGGCACACAGATTTTCATCACAGTGAATTGCTTGAGCACAGACTTCTCCTCACAAAAAGGAGTAAAAGGGCTTCCTTTGATGATTCAGATCGATACATACAGCTACAACAACCGCAGCAATAAACCCATCCACCGAGCCTACTGCCAGATCAAGGTCTTTTGTGACAAGGTAGGTGGAAAGCACAGTTATCGTGGACGGAGGTGGAACCTTGTTAGACAATTTATTATTGCTATATTTTAGACCTAATTAAATGTTTTTTCTTTCCCTAGAGAATTGTGTTTCATAGTAGCATTTGTACAAGCTATATCACAAATCTAGCAGATTATTGTGTAATTATTTTACTGCTTTGCAGCCTTTTTGGCCCTGATTCCTCAGCTGGTGAGGAATAGTTGGATTTTTTAAGGACAGCATGTTTTAGGTCATGATGCTGGAATATCAAAAAAGTGAAAGAAAGTACAAATGTAAAGATCTCTGCTTGGAAAGTCAGTGCTGATTATAGGTTCACGCAAGTGCCAGTCTGCTGAGGTTTTCCCTCCTGGCTCTAACAGCCAGGATAGGTAGCATGTAAACTTTGTGGAGATGCTCTGACAGAGAAATGCACCTTTCAGTAAAGGTCTGGAAAACGCCAAGTCCCAGTGATGCAGCTGATGGATTTCCCATCTCCCTTAATTACAAGCCCTGATTTTGGAAGCTTCAATGCGACTTTTATGTTGCTAGGATTTTCTTATTAAAAGTAAACTGCAAAAATAACTTAGTCTTTCCCATTTTGTAGTTCAGTAACTATTTTTTTGTGTGTGCTCATTCCCTCTTTTGCAAAATTTTGTTCTTTTACAGTACATTTGACTGCTCCTTTGTGGGAACTGGTAAGATTTTTCAGCACCCAAACATGGGTCGTGCCTTAATGAGTTAGGCAATCTCATGGTCAGCTGTATATATCACCACATAGAAACAGTTGCTCAGAAATGTTATGTCAGTGGTAATTCTTAGAAGAAAGTGTGACCACTTTTCAGTTGTGTTTAACATCTGCCAGCTGATGACTTTATCCCTGCTGAGAAAGATTTTCCATGGGGGAGCTGATGCCTGAATTCTAGTCAAGGTTCAGGGATTCAAGAGTCTACATCTATTTAAGTGACTGGGAAATTTATCCAAATTAGTCTTGCCATCTTACAGGTGGGAATAGAAAGACAAAGGCCATGCTCCAGGCAATATGTAACATTAACTTTTTAATGGAAAGGGTAAGAGTTCAACTGTTCCAGGACTCTGTGTTGCTGCTCCTTCCCCTGCTCCTTCCCCCTTTTCAGTTCATTCCCTTGTTGCAGTCTTGACAACGGGATCTTGAGGGCTAGTCAGTCAGTTGTGTTAGTGGAGCAAAATCTTTGGAAGTAATGAATGTAAATGTATGCACTGAGGTCTTGCAGTCAAAATGCTATGCTTTTAATTGTAACTTTGAATGTCAAATATTTAGAGATTTGAAGCTACAGCTGGATGTTGAAAGCTCAGTAAATATCAAAGGACAAGTCATTTTCATATACTTGCTTTTGAAGAGCAATTAGAAAAAAATCAAATTATTTAAAAAAAGGAAGGAAATTCAGAGCACACACTCATCAAGGGTGGCCTGTAGATACAACCGGTGGAGATTTTGAATAATACATGTTTGTTGCATCTATTGGCTTAATTGATGCTTCAAATATTGAGACTAGAAAGCAGGAAATTAATGTTGAGTCCAATAATCAAAACTGTATCAAAGTAGAAGAAAAGATCAGAGGGTTGTAAAAGCATTATTCACATCAAAACTGTATTGGAAGTGGGAACTGAAGAGCTCAAGGGTATCGATAATGGGATATATATCTGTTTAATATAAATGTATACATACACATATTACTTTTTAACTTAATGCAAGTGTGAAAATAAGTTAAATGAATGAAAATTATTGAGGTCAATTCACATGACAGTTCATGCTAACTGGCACTTGGAAGGAGACTGAGACTTGCCTCTCCCTTGACTTATGCTGCCAGATCTTTACCAACGTCCCTTTGTTACAGGGGTTTCATGAGTAAACAAATGGTTGGAAAATTTCCATTTGCTAGTAGTGCTGGGAGAATTCATCATGCTCAGAAGAAGGTAGCTGGTGGGGCTTGCTATCCTTATCTTTCCAGTATGTCAGAATAAAACCCTGGCACTTGTTAAGGTGGTGCTACGTGGTTCAGCTTCTCTTGTCAGCCTGTAGCTCACTCTCCTGGGACATGAACAGGGCTTTCTGCCTCTTTGGATAAGGCTATGAAGCTGAGATGATTATTGCCCACCTCTTTGTCATGATCAATTAAAGACCTATTAATAGGACCATTTAAAAAAACCCAGCAAACATATAATAATTTTTATAATTTTAAAAGCGTGAACTGCGCTGTTATGCCCCACTCTGACAACCTCAAAGAGAAGCTGATGAGAAAAGTGCCTGATTTATTACAGTCATCTGGATCAGTGGAACTGCACAGTAAATAAATTAATGTCCTGTAGCTGAAATACAGCATAGCTGTTGTGGAAAGAGTTATCCCTGAAGAAATAAAACTGCATTTAGCTAAGTGGTATGTATCACATATATACATAGTATTTACTCCGGCAATTGCTTAATTGTAATATTAATTTACATATATAAACTAGAGAGTAACACCAACTCACATCCAGTGTGTGCTTTGTGACATAAATTTATGGAGATAAATGCTGCAGAGGTTGTAATTGTGTCCTTACTCTCTATTCATTCTCCAGTCTTTTGTCCGTGTTTGTTTTCCATAGGCAATCTTCAAAGCATCTGTTACAGTGCACATCTCATTTTCTCAGTGCTAATTCTCTCTGCCCTTGCAGTCTTTTTATCCTGTGCAGATCACTGATGCTGCATTATGATAAGAATATATTACTTTTATTCCTTAAGTAGGTTGTCAGGGAAACTTGCTACCAGGCCTACTTATATTTATATATTGCAAGATGCTTTAGCCACTGTGTATGAAGAAACTTGGGCTTCAGAGATATTTTGATTTTCTTTATGTGATTAGCTTTGCTAAAAAGAAGCAGAAGCGTTTGACTTGGCAAATACCGTAACATTGTTCCAAAATAAAATAAGTGAATCCAGTTTTCTTTACTCTGAAAAACCACATGTTCTTTAGAATATATGCAGTTCCTGCCTTCTTGTCTTCAGTATGTATTGTCACAGAGAACATGGATTATCATAGGGTATTGAGCAATTCCAATTGCCTATTAATCTTCAGCTTTAGAGAGAAGGCTGAAGTCTATGTGCCTGTCCTACCAGATGTGGAATACTTCGGCCTAGAACGACAAGCAGACGTTTCCATGAGCTTTATAAGGATGATGGGAGTGGTCCTTACCATGGCAAAGGCTTTGCCAGGCTGGAGCTAGAATGCAAGACTCAGCTTAAATGAGTTGAAGACTTAAGAAAAAAATATTTTCAATCAGCTGAAATTCATAGGCCACATTTAACTAATAGTTAGTAGCAGAAGTACTAGTAGTACTAATTGCATTTATACGAAGTCAATATATATCAATGAAAAACTGAAAAACTCATTTCATTATTTCACCGGTCAGAGCCTACTTTATAGTCCCCTATGAGAGGGTTATTTCTTCTGTTCTGAAGAGACAAGCAAACTGTGGTTTACTGAATATGTGTCAGATGGCTCAGCTGTCAAAACTGTGCAGCGGAAATGCTCTTGTGTGCAAAAATCATTTTGTGGTCCATTGTCTCAGCCCCTATGACAGTGACGTACATCGTGTAGGCTTGGCTGGCCCCTGCCATGTGCTACGTGGGTTGCTCCTAGCTCAAAAGGGCCGGTACGTAGTTCTGCGGGTTTTGCAGTTGCCTCATTTGTAAAGTGACTGTGGCACAAATAAACACTGGGGGGTGGGAATGGCTGCCCTGCTCAGAGATTGCCTGTATGCAAGAGAACTTCGGGGTGTCTTCCCTTGAATGAATAAAAAGAGAGCTGTGAAGCTTTACCAAGTTCATAATTACAAAGAATATAACAGAAAATCAGTAAAACATATTTTTTTATTGCATATAAAGTCTGAGTCCTCCTCAGTTTCTGTTTGCCTGAAAGGAAGCTTGTGCTTGCTGCCATGTATGGAAATACTTTTGTGGTTCCTCCTGTTGTCCGTGAGCAGCAGAGAGGCAGCACTGAGGGCAGATAGGGCTGTGGCCATCTGGCAGAGCCCTTTGTGCAGCACAGGGCTCTCAGGGATGTGCCACAGGACAGTGGCTGTGATGCATATTTTTGCTCCTTTCTTACAAAGAACAGGTGGCCTTTAAAGATACAAATGTACCCCTAGAAACAGTTTTGATAAGGGTGTCTGCAGTTGAGGTCAGTGACAACTGGACTGGGACCTGCGTCTGGAGACAAGGTTTCTGTTTGACATCTTCATGTTTTTTAAAGAGCTGTTTCTTCCTCCATCTATTTCAGCCTCTGGAAATCTATTGCTAGATCACAACCAGGAGTACATCTTTCCTTGCATTCTTTTCAAGCTTGGTTCATTGGCTCATGTGTGAATTTTGCCATCTTGAGTGGGTATTTTTGGCTTCCTTACCCTCCTCCTCTCCTTTCTTTTCAAGAAATTTCCAATTTTAATTTGGAAAAAAAAATCTGTAATCTTGCATGCCGACTGTCTAGGAGCATATGGATCTTTAATACTCTTCACAATGTGATGGGTATTATTTATAAAGTAAATCCAGAGAACTTCAAAGGAGGTATTGCTACTTTTTATTTCAAAAACAAATTTTATTTTTTAAACTTGTTGAGAGTGTATTTACATAACAGAAGCCTGCAACTTCCCAGGACTTCCTGTGAAGGAAGTAGGGCAGTGCTACATTGCTTTTCCACTTCTGGAGAGCTTTTCCCTCTTTGAAATGCCTGTATTTTTCTGTAAGAACCCTTGCACTGTTGGTAACCTGTCAGCATAGCCTTCTTGCACTGTTAAATCTCAAAGGCCTCTGCACAGTTGGCCACAGTGAAGCAATGCCACCCCCAGACAAAGTGGGTGGAGGAGAGTTTAGGGAAAAGCTTATCACAAACATGATCTAGAATGATAACAATCCTGCAGGTGTTTTATGCCATTACATACACAAAGTATTTGGCCTGAGCATTCTGTCCATTGCAGAGACACTGGGCTTTGCAAAATTTGTGGTGGCATCAGTCCTGCTAGAGACTACACACTGCATAAACTGTCCATCCTGGCTTCTCCAAATCAGTGTGTGGATATGTTCCCCTTGCTGTCTGCAGCCCTGGGAGCTGCTGGTTGTGCCAGCTTGAGTTTCAGGCACAGGTGATCGATGCGAAGCTTGTACCTTTCCAACAGTCTGGATAGATTTATCTGCAATGGAACAACCAGTTTCTGTTTCAGCATTTCTGATATGTCAGCCGCTGTAGTTCCAGGCATTGCTAACTACGATGCTCCCGGTGGTTCCTCTTTGGGTAATAATATCTGTGGGTTGTCTTTTTTGCACAGGGAGCAGAAAGGAAAATCCGAGATGAAGAGAGGAAGCAGAACAGGAAGAAAGGCAAAGGCCAGGCATCCCAAGCCTCATGTAATAATGGTGAGTAAGATGGGTCTTTCTGGTTTGGGACTAAGTCACGCTTCACATGCCTCCTCTCACAACCGTGTTGCTTTGTGATCTGCAGCTGAAGGGAAGTTGAGTGCACTCCCTCTGCAGAAAAAGAGTGATATCACCTTCTTCAAAACAATGGCTGACCTGGATTCCCAGCCAGTTCTCTTCATACCGGATGTTCACTTTGGAAACCTACAAAGAACTGGACAGGTAGAAAATTATAATGAAATGAGCTGGTGCCCGCTTGCCATCTGTCTGCCTCTGCTCTAGGGCAGGTTTTAGGAAAACAAAATCACTGTTCTGGGGGCTGCTTGTTTCAGCTCTCGTTTTTATAAACACAACTTTTGGTGAGTCACATATACAAGAGTTTAAAAGGGATAAGTACCTTTCTGAGTTCTGGGTGTGAAGGAGTTTATACTTCATTGACAACTGACTAGTTTGTGTTTGTTATGATTTTGTTATTATTTTGCTGGGAAGAAAGAATGGAACAAATAGTCAAGAATTTTGCAATAAGTTGATCTGTGACTGAAACAGTCTGGTTTTGAGTGTGCTCTTTGGCTAGATGAAATGAAGTGCCACCTTGTGGTAGCGGAGATCCCCCTCCCTGTCACAACTGAAGACAAAGACCAAGCTCTTACATGTATAGGGAGGTCGAGAGCAGGGTCACTGAACACCACAGTCCATTTTCTTTTGGCATTATCTAGAGAACTGGAAATTCCTTGTAAAAAATATTTTCACTCTACCAAGTAAAACTCTGTCATGCTAATGTTAATATTCGGTATTGCCAATTATCATAACCAGTAAACGTTAGGAAGTCTTTGCTGACTTGACTTTTTTTACTTTATCACTTGATGGGAAATTGCAAACCTGAATTGGAGGGTCAGCTCTGACAATTTTTTTACTATGAACCTGTTATTTATTAACATCTCAGGGAGTAGAATGAGACTTTTATGCATGTGTTTAAATATTAAGATGATGAAGATTCAATGACACTGTTGGAATTGTCAGTTATTTTAAAGCAGTGAGAATTGTGGTAGGGCAAAGCACAAAGAGCGCATATCACTGACTTACTCTCCAAAATTGGAAAGACACCCACTCACATATCAGTGCTGGGTACCTTCTGTCCTCATGGCTTTCAAACCAGAATGTGGATTTGTCTTAAAACAGGAGAAGGTGGAAGCATTCCTTAGTATATGTAATCCTGTAAATAATTTTCTAAACTAACTGGAAGATGCCCCAGTTTCCTAGCTCTTAGGCAATGTTCAGCCATGTCTTTTATTGCTGTAACTCATAGAATGAGTTACAGACCTTGGCTTTGCACACACACACCTCTGAGCTGTTTTCATTGTGCAGGTTCAGAACCAAAGGCTCTCAGTGAGAGCCAAGTGTGCTCTGAGTCTTGCCAGCGCAAGTGCTAGAAACCCATCCGAGATGCCTTGCTCTGCCCCGGCAGAACACAGAGCTCTGGTGCCCTGCCTTCAGTAGCTCAGCAGCGGGAGGGCTGATACACTTGTTGGTGCAGTCCTGCAGTGCTGGCACAGTGCAAGGAATTTGGCTGACTGTTGTGTAAAGCCTCTGACAGCAGACTGTGATTTTATACCTCCCCTGCTATTGTTAGCAGCATTTGCTGCTGTTGTGAATTTGGTCCCAGTGACTGTGAGCTGTATGGATTTACACAAAACGGTGGTCCGGACTTGAGCTTCCGCTCACAACCTGCACAAAAAATGTTCAACTGTACTATTAGTAATTGTATATCTGTTAGGCCTGTAGTTTAATGTAGCTCTCTACAGTTTTGTTAGATTTTCAGATAGTATTAAAGACATAGAAAAGTTTGAAAGTGTTGTGGCTTAAACTGTATTAGGGTTAATTTAGGTGAGTAGTGATCTGATTTCGAGGATTGTAAAATAATTGGGAAAATCATATGAACCAGGGGAGAGGACAATGCCTTTCAAAAATACTTTGATATATTTCCACTAGATATTCAACAGCAGTTTCTCTAAGCCACCCTTTTTCCATATCACAACTAGAATTTGAGATGTTTTTGTTTTATAGAAGGAAAAGGATTTTTAACATATGAAAAACTGCAAACCACTCATCTTTTCTGCCTTTTGAAGTTATTCTGTTAAGGAAATGTCTGAGTTTTGGGAATAATTGTTGGTTTTATTTCTGTCCTTCTAGGTTTACTATAATACAGATGATGAGAGAGAAGGGTAAGACATTCATTGTTTCACAGGCTTTGCAGTTAGCAGTTCAAACTTGTAGAAAGAAGGCACAAAACACAAAATAAGATAAAACTGATGCCATTTCTCCCCCTTCCCTCATGTTCTCCCAATGCTTATGGAGGGTGAATAATATGTAGAACTGGTAGGGGGAGGTTTATTTTGTGGTGTAGCTTTCTTTCCTTCATGTGAACTGGCTGTTTTTTATATCTGTTTTTTAATACATTTCCAAGTAAAACAGTTTAAAGGGCCATAAGGTTCAATACAGGGACAGGACAATATATTTGATAATGAAATGCTTTCTATATATGCACAAGGGTTCTCAAATACTTTAAAAACCAGGAATCTTTTAATGAAGCACCAAACTTCACTGCATTCCTGAAAGCTGTTTAGCAGCACACGTGTGTATATGACAAATACAGGAACTGCAGAGAGAATGGCCAAGTGCCAGAAGAGAACAGCAGAAAGAGAGCGGGAGATCCTGGAAAGGGGGAAGGTTGGAAATGGGAGCACCCCCTATCTGACTTTGGAGGGACTGGAAGAACTGATGAAAGTCCCTCTAATAGTTAAGAGATGCCATGAAATAAGGGCTTTAATATGGGTAGTTGAAGTTCAGCCCACAGTGTGTGCAAGCCCCGTACTTTTGTAAGTTGCTTAAATCACAAGTGAGCACCCTTAAATCTGAGCGTTTGGAGTAAGGCAACTGCAGTCCCATAAACCTGCAAAAAGTGATCTGTGGTAGGGAGTGGCCAAGTGCTGCCACCAACATGGACTTGAAAACATGAGGCCCTTTTTATTTCTTTTATGAAACTAATATTCTTCACAAGGCTCACAGTGTAATTTGAGAAACAAAGGGGTTTATTGCACCAAGCACATTAGCTTCAGTTCTCTCCTCCAGGACTCCAAGTCCTGCCAGAGCTATGACAAGCAGAGGGGGCAGCCGTTGTTCCTTCAGCCCTCAGCTCCCCTGATGGAGCATATTGCAGCTTTGGGTTGGATATGGCCCAGCACGTTATTCCTTTTGAATTTACTGGCTAGTATGGTCTTGGATTTTAGAGATATTGCTGGTGTTTCCTGAGGCTGTCTCTTTTACCCCAAAGAGGAGGTGAATCAATGTGCAAATGTGGGTTTGGTTCCTCACTTAGCTTTTTCTTCCTCCCCACCCCCCTTCCCTCAGTATTTAACAGTTAAGGGCTTTTGGGATTTTCAAATTAATGAGTAACATTGGAACATATTTTCCTGTCACCTGTCCCAGCCAGTCAGTCTGGGTAATTAAGAGGCCTGGATAGTTCAGATAAGCATCAAAAGCTAAATCCTTGCAGTTTCTGTTCTGGTGCTACTTGAGCAGCTAGTGGGTGTTTTTGCCAGAGTACAAAGTGAGTCATGACTGCTGCTGTTGTCTCCTCTTCTTCTGGGAGCATAGTTTTACTGTGACATGGCTCCTGTTTTGTGTATTCTAGTAGCAGTGTCCTGGTCAAAAGGATGTTCCGGCCTGTGGAGGAGGAATTTGGTCCATCCCCATTGAAACAAGTGAAAGAAGAAGGCCTGAAAAGAGGTAACAGTCAATTAGCAGTTAAAAATAATTCTGTGGAACTCGAGCCCTCAAGCCTGGGAGGGCAGGTGTGGTTCAGACAGAGTCAATTGTTGAATGCTAGTGCAAACATAGGTAGATGGGAGAAGAGATCTTTGCATGCTAGAAATGACTTAAAAGCAGAAAAAATAATAATTAAAAAAAAAAAGACTGTGCTCTCTCAAGAAGGGATCAGGACACAAGTGTATATAAAATATAAAAAAGCTGGAAAGTTTCTTGATCCTTGGCCAAGCTACATAGTTCATAAATGTTCCAGTAGCAGATCTGCGATTGTCTATTTTTAGCTTTTGCTCATCTTTTCTGTTCTGGCTGGGATCACAAACAAATATGCAAGATGCACTAGGTCAAATACAGAGACCTTAACAGGCAAGCTCCTGCTGACTGCAGACTTAGATTAGCTGTAAGAGAGTCATAGAAATTTCCTACCCAATTAGAAATATAAGGCATGGAGAGACATCTTCCAGTAGACCTAACAGAATTTTAAAGAATTTGTTTCCCTTAACTTTTTTTACTGCCTGAGTGAATATTATTACAATTACATTTCATATGCTTTACCAACTCCTGTTTTGCCAGTCTGCTACAAATTAAGCTTAAGTTGAATAACATTGAAGCAATGGTTTAGGCAGAGCTGTTAAACTTTGCGCTGAAGGTGGGTTTGTTCACAAAATCAGTTTTGTGTACAGTCCCTTCCAGTGCAGTGCTATCGGTGATAACTTCCTACACTGTCACAGTTAAACACCCTGGACAATATTTGCCATTCCTTCAGTCTCATGAGTTCTGTTATATAAGTTTATTGGAGACTCCAGGGCTTTGACCAACCTACGTGACTCAAACTTTCACCTATTTTGAAGTTCACCCATCAGTTTGTGAGACAACAAATCAACAAGGCACAGAAGTGAGCTCAGTTGTTCTTAGTTTGACCATTTGTAAGACTCCTTTGAGCTTTATAGAAATAACTTCCCATGAGCCTGCATTTGCCAAGTTTCTGTGTTGGTTAGGGTGGTGTACTTGAACCAGAGGAAGATTATAGGATGGACACTGGTATCTTCTTGGAATAAATGTGAACATACTCTTATTTTAATTAAATCTTAAATTAATTATGCTGACCTCTGAGGTCAGCACTGACCACAGACTTGCATCTGGTTGACTCAAATCTTGGCCAAATTCACATTATCAGGGCTCTGTCAAGCAGAAGAGGACAGTCATGAGGGCTGCGTAAAGAACTAAAATTTCACCTGGGTTTCCCAGCTGGAAGTCTGGGAAGTTGCCTGCAAGGGGGTATTGGTTTGCTTTGATTATTCCTATCCTTTGCTGTGGTTAGTTGTTTTAATATTGTCCAGGACTTGCAAGCATTTCAAGGGTAAGATTAGAAAGAAAAAAAAAATTAACTGGTGGCAAAACTATGTTAACTAATTAAATCCAGGAGAGGCACAGAACCAGAGGAGCTGGAGGATGCTCTCTTCACATCCCCTTCCTGTTCAGTGTTTCTTGCAACTTGGACTATGCTGGCTGGAGGCCAAGCCTTTTCCAGCATGGCCTTTGCTCTGGTGAACTTCCTGCCATCCGGAACCCTGCATCTGAGATTTTGCTGATGGAGTTTAACTGAATCTACCCATTTGTCCCAGGAGTCACTGAGTATTAAAATGTTTAGGGATTTTTACCCCCAGCTTAGCCATATTAGAAGCTTCTTTTCTCCCAGATTTGTTTGGTACAGCGGAATCAACAAGTCCTAGAGAGCAGGTATAGATGTGGCACTGGTGTAATGTCTGAGAGAGAGCAGGTCTGATATGTGAAAATATGCATTAAAAGCAACGTAATCCCAAGGTGGTTCATTAGCAGAGCAGTGCAAGTAGTAGCTAGTGAGGGGTCCAAGCCCAGCTGAAGAACTGAAGTGACAGTGTGTAGCCTCACCTCTGCCTGATGGACCTAATTGTAGCACTGTCTGGCTGAAGCAAAGGTATTAAGGGGCAGCCTTCAAGAGAACAGGTTAGAAGGGGTTTGCAAACTACAGGAAAACAAGGTTCATATTCTCACTCAGGTTGCTGGATCTTTGTGGATTGTTCTTTCATCTCCTTGACCTCTGAGAGAGGTACAAGTGACCAACACAAAAATGTGAAGTATGTTAATCTGTACCAAATGTGCAAGGTAGCTAGTTACTTGGCTGGTCTTGTGGTCTTTCCCTGTTTTGAGTTCTCAAATCACTTTCCCTTTCAGATTTCATAGGGAGTTTCCTGTTAATTATAAATCCAGCAGCTGAGTTAAGATCAGGTTGATTTCCAGTCCTGTAGTTCTCAGCTTAAAGAAAATTGTATTTTTGTTTAGCCTTTGTCTCTCAGGAAAGTCATGTTAAACTACACTGAAACATTTTGGATTCATAACAATTGGAGTTTTGTGAACCATCCCTGTGAAGGACAGCATTCACACTGTCACCAAGGGAATTTGTGCCTGGGCAATAGCAAAAGCTCCAAATGTGAGAAAGGAAAGCCAGGTCAGAGCTACCAGCCCTACTGTCCTTGACTAAGATGTACCACATCTTCATCCAGAGACCACTTTACAGAGACCGTAGTCATTAGTCATTGTTCATAGGATGTTAGTCACAGCATTGGTAGTGCCTGGGCTCAGACCTTCCTAATGTTCCAAGTCTTACTGTCCCATTGTGCCCTTAGTTTCATTTTTGCCACATGTCTGTTATTGTTAACGCTTTTAAAAGAGGTATCTAACATTGTTCTTCTGCATTCACACATAAATTGTCTGCTTGGTGGCCTGGCTTCCAAAAATCTCCCAGGTGCAACAACATTGCTTGCCTTCAGGAAAGGCTGTTTGCCACTCTGCAATTTGGTATATTGGGGCTATTTCTTAAGTAACTAAAGATAAATTTATTACTCCCCATCTTCTGCAGTTCTTTTAAACATCTGAAGAATATTAGGGACTACAGTGGATTTCAGTGTTGGTAAGAATGGTAAGAACTAAGGCCAGGTAGTGTAGAGGTCGGACAAATTTGAATTTATCTTTTAACTCTCAGTCAAAAATAGCTCATTACCTGGTACAAGATTTCTGCCCCCCCTCCAAATATTGTAATCTGTACAATTAAAGTGAACCCATCTAGATGCCATGAACATGGGGACAGTAGGATCAGAGGGCATAAGTATGACTTGTGTTACATAGTCACAGGAATTCAGTGGCAGTGCTGCTGCTGAGTCCACTAGAGTCTTTGCAGCCCCTCTCTGTCTGCCTTGGCTGTGCCTCCTGCTCCAGGCCACCTGACCACCTCTCCGCAGCTCTGCCAGCATGGAGGCTGGTGGGACTGTGTTGTACACTGAAGCAGGGATCTGATCTGTTTGAAGAACAGCTCAAAGAAAGGGTTGTTTTTTCACTCACATCTGCTTTTTGAAAGAGTTCCTCATCAAGAAAAATTCATTGAGATGGGCCAGAGTAACAGAGCGAAAGGTTGGGGATGAGACAGGGGCTTCCTAAGGCATCACTGCCACCGGAAGTCTTTTAGGAAAAAGTGCTCTAGTGAATCAAAGCCAGGATTTTGACACCTGTCAGGGGAAAGAAAAAACCAACAAACCTCCATATGTTTACTAATCTTGGCTCTCTGTGTGTATAATAGTGATTCAAGTTCCCCGTTATCCTTGTAATGGATCCTTCATTCAGCATAATGTTGCCTGGCGCACCAAGCGCAACAGAGAGATTTAAAGCTCAGCACTGGGATTGTGTAAATGTCCCCAACTTGAACCTTGGACCAAGTGATTTTTTTTTTGCTCCTTTCAGATATGTTTGTAATTGTTAAGGCTGACAGAGGTCCAGATGTTTGTAAAGCCAGGAATTACAGGACAGTCTTCTAGTCACAAGGAAACAACTACTAAATGAATATAAGTGTTAGTACTGGTAAAATCAGCACTTTGAGTGAGTGCTTGCTCATGCAAATAAACATATCAGACCCCGTAAAATTTAGCTCCTCATGTGGATTTTTTTTGTTCTTTTACATTCTGACAGTTATTTAGATTGTGACTCAAAGTTATCTCAGCTTCTAAGTCCTTTAAAAGGATGTTTTCAGGCAGGTCCCAAAGAGTTGCTAAAATGTAGGTGAAAAGGATGTGGCTTTGAATGCAGGTAGCGGTTTTGTGGCTTGTATTTCTGAATCGGAGATGCAAAAAAGGCATTGTTGTCCTGCATTTCTGGTTTATAGACCAAGACAGGGCACTGATCTGCCCCCATTTTAAGTCTTTCTTCAATCATTTCAAAACCTGGGCAAAGAAGCTGCAATTCTCTGGATATGGACCTGAGTCCACCCTGCTAGTCTTGACCTGACAATTAGCTTCAAAACACTTGCTTCTGTATGAAAAATCTCTGTTGGTTCATATGCATGTCATCTATTCAGTTACCTGGTGAAGATATCTTTTGGACTACAAGAATTTGCAGTTTCAAAAGGTGTCTACCAAAAAAAAAAAAAAAAAGATTACCACTGCAATTTGTGACATAAAATATCTGACACTGCATATGTGTTTGTACCTCTTGTACAGCACTGCTATTTGAGAAGGCAGTTTATTTAGGAACCAAAATAAATTGCAGCACATCTTATTTATCCTTCTACTTATTGGTCATGTGAGATTATGCCTAGAACACTTTTCTAGTGTTTATGCTTATTTACTTTGTAGCTGTCTGCTTTGCTTTTGCCATGTAGCAGCAAGTTTCCTCCTTTTACCTGTACTAGTCAGGAAAAAACAAGAGCTAGAGAGGGCAAGGCACCTGTGAATGACTAAGACCCGGCAGGACATCTGAGGGAGGAACAGGAACAAAAATGGCATTTGGGTACCTGAAAATGCCTGCCTGCCAGTGATGCTCTTGAATGTCTCCTCTGTAAAGTCTCAAATGACTTTGAATTCATTTTCCCAGTGTTTATTTTCAGACTGGTCAGGCCGTTTGTAGTCATCTGCATGGTCATGTCAGACAGAACTATTTCTTTCCTTTTTCATTGATTTTGTTTTCAAAGGCATAGCTTAAGACAAACCAGACTTGCCTTTTTTGAATATCCTTTCCCAGACTTTTAGATGAAGCCTGGAGAGGTACAAGCCAAGAGACAGCTTTTAGGAAGACCTAGCTTGTGTGTTTTGTCCTGTGACTGAGAGACAGGGCCCAAGTGCTTTTTAGCCTTTTGCTGTAAATAGAGATTTAGATTCTGGAAGATACAGATTCCTCGCATTATATTAAAATAGCTGAATTTTCGTTACTATGTTCTCAAAGCAACTACGATGTGTTGTTCATGTTTAGATCACTGATGATATTGAAAGTATCTTTTTTTGAGTGCAAACTGCCTTCAGTGCTTCATTCTATCTGTCATGGATTAATATTTGTTTTTCTGCTCAGCATGGGGTGTTTCATCTGTGCAATTGACTGAACCTGCTCCAAGTTTGACTTTTTTTTTTTATTTCAGTGCTTTTGTATGTGAGGAAGGAGACAGATGAGGTGTTTGATGCTTTGATGCTGAAATCACCCACAGTAAAGGGGCTAATGGAAGCTGTAAGTATCCGATGTCCTCACATTGTTTGTCTTTCTTGGCAAGAAAATCTTCAGGCTTTCCATGTATTACTGATATTAATCATAACATAAAGATGTTCTCAGGTACATTTAAAGCATTTCATAAAGCCTTTCTGGAGCACATCTCTAAATGCTGGCATGTTCTGAATTCAGTGTTGTCATCAGGTTGCTGGGATTAAAGTGTCACAGAGCTGGTTATTGGAGACATGAGCCTTGAGGAATGGCAGTAATTAACCAGTGTCAGGGAAGCAGAGAGGTGCAGGCTTCATTTTCTGAAATACTTCTTTCTTAATTGGCGGCTCAGAGCCTGTTGAATCTTTTCCCATACCGCCCATCAGTATGTTCACAGCCATCTTTTCAAGAAGAGGTCCAAAGATGGACCTTTTCTGTGTGAATTTCACATGTCTTTTGTGCAATTGCTCTTCCAGCATGCAAGAGTCAGGTGCTGAACCAATGCAGACTTGTCATTCATACCTTGTCTCAAATTCCTTCTTTAGCCCCCACTGACAGAGTGACCTGCCTACTACCTGCCTCTTTGCTGCTTCTTTGGCTTGAGTATTTGCTTGTTACCCATAAGCTGTCATCATTAGAGTTGCTATTTCCCTATTTAATCCTTTTTATATGAGCTGATGGCTAGTAGATATGTGAAATTTGGTGAGAGAAGAGTTAAGTAACCATGTGTCTCACTGCTTCGGTGGGGAGACTAATTTGAGACTGTCATGTGGGATGCTGAGTTGATTTCCAGCCTTGCTTACGTGTAGGAGAGAAGACGGGAATGGATGAAAGTGTCCCTAGAGAGCTCAGCCAAGTGCTAGAAGTGTGTATATTCATACTCTCTTAAAACTGTCACAGTGTCTTGTTGCATGTACCGAACACTTCTAATGCAGTAAAGATTGAGTAATTTGGTCAATATTTGGCCAGTAGCAGAAGGCAGAAAAAGATTTGTGGGTTAGTGAAGTTGTTTAAAGCACCTTTTCAGATGAGGGTATCTATGAGGAGTGCCAGCAGCATGCTAAGGATGTCCTAATTGTGCTTTTGTGATTACTGTTTGTTAGCTCAGTTGTTAGGCAGAGCACATGTGTAACAAAAACCAGGCTTTGCTTGAAGAGGCTGCAGTCTGATTCACGGTAAGCTGTAACATGATTTCATCTTGTCTCTGTATGGAAGTTAAAAGTATGTTATAATCCTTCTATAACCTTTCAAGCTTGCATGAATATTTTATCTCCAGTAGTCTGTGCTTCTCCATGCCTGTTCTCCAGCCACCGTGTAACAAAAACAAAGCTGGTGCAGAAGCAGGAAAGGTTTCTGCATACCTCATTCAGCACAGCTGCTGACTAACTGGTGTGTTTTGGCACCAGAGAAATCTAATCTGTTGTAAAGTGTCCCAGTTCACTGAAAGGAACACATGCAGAAAATTGTAATTCTCTTTGGTAGGATATTGTGGATAAACCAGTGCCAGAAAGCTGTCAATCTGCATATTCTTAGATACTCTCTCTACAGTAATTTTAGCAAATCATGTCATTTTGTAATTGTGCACATCCTAAATGCTCAATTCTAAACTTAGTACTAAGAACTTAAAAACTGAGCCTCTGGACATTACAGAGCGCCAGATCTGAATGAGAGCTCCAGTGATCCTGAATCGTACCCTCCTTCTCTGTTTATGGATTTTATGTTTTTTTTTCTTTTCATTAGTCACTATTCCTGGTCTGTGGCTTTCTCCTAATTTTCTGTTATTAATGATACTGTTTTCTCAGATGCTGTGTTTATTTTATTCTCACATATACCCCCATTCCAAATGAACACTTAGATTCCTTCTCAGATTTCTTTCTTTTGGCAAATATCTGGAGGTCTCAGGTTTCAGAAATACAGTACATCTCAGGAAGTGATGCAAATGTTTGGTTTTCTCTAGTCAGTCTTGATCAACAGAAAATAGCGAAACAATTTTCCATCACAAAATATCACTGACCAGCTCTAAATCCTGCTTTCAGCCTGATCCAAAGTCAGGATAACTCTGGGTATCTCAGTAGGTACCTTAGTCTTACATTGTGCAAAATCACATATTTATTCAAATTGCAGAAGGTAGAGAAATTTGGGAAATTCAAGAATGTCCCAAAGTTTTTCTATAATTAAAAACTAACAGATGAGTTCAGTAAAGGTAGCTTAGACAGAAGTTTATTAGGTACATATCTATATATGTGATATTCCAACCAATGTAGGGCAACAGACCAGACCAATTCTATTTTCTATTTTCAATATTCCATTCAAATTTCTATTTTCATAGAAATAAGTTGGCAAACAGGTTTTCCTACATGCCTCGACCAGCCCAGATGTTGCCCTTTCTGTCTTCCTGACTCCAGCAGAGAGCGTTTCCGCTGGACTGTGCAATCAGACTGTGCAAACTTGCCACGCCAAGGGACCTCAGCCCAAAGGGACACCCAAACAGCTATTTCAGTTCCAGTCTGAGGGCTGTCACACTGCTTTGAGCATCCCCAGGGAAAGAAAGAATTCTCTGCTCAGAAGATTGGCAAATGGGAAATGGACATGATAAGGAAAAATATTTGTCCAAATAAAGATGTCATTAAAATTTAATGTAACCTGCTTGGGGTCAGGTGAGAAATCCTGTTTTGTATGGAAGTTGGCAGTAGTGGTGTTCTCCTTCACTGGCAACAAACACGCTGAGAAGAGGGTGTTAAGTGAGAAACCCTAGCAGATGCTGGCTCTGCTTTCTCGGATTCTGCAGCAGGATTTAGCACATTTGTGCTGGAGTCTTGTTTTCTGAATCCGTAAGGAGGAGGCTCTCCCATACCCCCACTTTGAGCCTTGCTTTCACAGTTTGCTGTTTGGTATAATTGGTCGAATCCTTAGGGGTTCCTGAGAAATGCGCTTATTCAGTCAGCTGGAAGTCTTTCGCAAAGCTCACTAATCCCTGCATGTTATATAAATCCTACACCTGTCATAGGCAGTGTAACAGGCAACCTCTCAGCCCAACCTCTCATAGTTTATGCAGGAAGTGATGTCCCAGAGTCCCAAACTGCTTTGAGCAACATTTGGAATGCATAAGTGTTAGATATCCCAAATATCCTAGGGAAGATTTATGCTGGAATGTGCAGAATGCTGTATATTAGCTGCTATTAAACCTCCTTGGCACAGGAATGTTTTGCCCTGCTTGTTTATTTGCATGGAGTCAGTAAAAAGTGTCTTCAAGTACTGATCTTTACAATATCACTAGATTTCAGAGTTAACAATCCAGAAAGGAAGATAAATAGTTTCCTCATGTTCACACAGTTGTGACATTTTCTGCAGTTTCAGGTGGCAGGTTTTCTCTGATGCCTGTTACAGAGGATTTTTTCAACAATCTAATGAAATTGAGCCATTTTTATTATTGCTTTACATGAAAGCTTAAATTTATGGGTACAACAAAATCATTCCATTCATGGTAAGCAAAGCCAGAGGATAAGAAAGAGTAATGTGGTTACATAGCTTTTCCATAGGCTACACAGAGCCTTTTGTATACGCTACGTGGAGCTCAGAGTGGAAAAGATTTGTTTTGTAGTTCAATAGTGGGGATGCTTGTGTGAGATATAAGACAAGTAGGGTGAAGCTCTTCTTCTCATACATGTTCAAAGTGGACCACTCCCCACATCAGGGACAATGTGACTGTACAGCATGGGAACTTGCACAGCCTTGTTGCAGAATTAGGCCTCTCCTCAGGCAGGTGAGAACATGGAACCAGGACTACAATCAGTATCTCCAGCACCATATCCAAAAGGGCAATGAAACATGCTGGTGCAAGTAAAACTGAAGTAACAAATACCACCCAAATTTAGTTTGAATTTTGTTCTCTGCTAGGTGGAAAGCTTAGGGAGTGGATGGGTCTAGTGTACCTTATCAGTTACTCCCTTCCTGTTAGCCACAGATGTACGCTAACACCGTCAGAGAAGAGTGTTTTGCAGTAAAAGAAGTTTTATTGGTTCTTCAGAATCTTGGAGTTATGTTATACTTTTTAAGCACAAAATTGTATCTTGGATTAGATGACAGTTATACAATTATAGGTGATGTAGGCAAGTACAGGCTAATTAATTCTCTCTCTCAGAGAATCTTGGCTCTCTGGAAGGAAGCTGTGCCTGGGGCTCAACCTGTGGCTGTTTGATTCTTTCCTCGGTACTGAGTTTATGCATTGCTTGCTTTCCATTTTCTACTTCATGATAATTTCTTTAATTTACTTCTTGAAAATAACACGTTTTCTCAATGTAAGTCTGAATGCAAACACAAAGAAAGGATTTTACAGTGACTGATGTTTGGCAGTCTTTAAATGGATTTTTAATTGTGCATTTCAGTTCTCTAATGCAAAAGATGAGTAGTCAGCTATTTAGCTGCAATTTCATTTCACCTAGGAAGAGCTGGAAACTTACTTTGCTTGGCAGTAAAGTACCACAAAACATTAATCACTGACAAAAAAATAATTTTTCTGTAATTATTTTGCCTTTTGGGACAATCCATGTCTAAAGTGTGAGCTGTGAGACCTGTTCCCTCAAAGAAGAGTCATAATTTGGAAAGGAAACGTGGCTCAGGTGGAGAGCTCAGGCACACCCTCTTCATGAGCACACCACAGACTCACTGAAGAATGGACATCCGAAAAAGTTACTAATACGTTGCTGCAAAGCAATGCCAAACCATTGCAGTGAAGTACTTGTTGGCATTGGTAATTTGTCAGCTAAGTAGTTCTCCCTTCTAAAGTTTTCCTGTATTTTCTGCTTTATCATTTGGGTAGCTGGCAAGAGGTTTATTTTACAAGGCCTTTTTTCTCGTTAACACACTTCTCTACAACATCTCATCTTGTTGTTATCTGTACACTCAGATGATGTTTTGTGAGACAAAACATTCTCATTTTGCCACTCTAGTAACTAGATTGAGTCATCTCCCCAACAATACAGAAGCTTCTTAGTCACTTGTGTAGCATGTTGGTAACCCTTCCACAATAAAGAGTACGTTGAAGATAATATTCAGAGAAAAGTACCGCCATGAAGAGTCCTGTTAGCTTAACAAACCTTGAAATATCTTTGAGAAATAGAAATGCACGTTTTTGTTGATCCATCAGTCCATCAGCTCTTGCTGAGTTGTCATATGTGTACCTTCTGCCTGGTGGAAGAAGCCTTTGCTTCCATGATCCCAGAAAATCAGATTAAGAAACAACAGAAATATCAGATTGAAATCCTCTTGTAAAATCTGAATCTGGAAGGAGCGTTGACTTCTTTAGCAGAGCAGTTGGAGATGCTGGGGCAGTTTTGATGATTCACACCCTATAAAAACTATGGTCTTCAAGTTTCTGGATGGAAACAATTGTGGGTTTTGATCAGGCTGTTCAGGATTATTCCTCCCCAAGTCATCCTTAAATGCAACCATGGTATGGTTGTGAGTGACTTTTCTGCATAGCTATCCTCCTAAAGTTTGCAGAGATTTTGTTTTAATGCCTTACAAAAGGTGTGATATTTTTATATTTCTCATTAGTCTTTAATGATATTTCGTTTATTTTTTTTTTATTTCAGATCTCTGAGAAATATGGGCTGCCAGTTGAAAAGATTGCAAAACTTTATAAGAAGAGCAAAAAGGGGTAAGTTAGTTAACTAAATAAGGGTCTATTGCAGGATCCTGTAGGAGTACTCAGAGATCCCAGTTATGCTTGGAGCCTCATGATGCTGGGCAGTATAAACACTTTGAGTAGATGTGCCCATGTGCTTGAAATCTTCATGTCCATGGAGACAGTAGGGGATTGCAGAGGAGGAAACATGGATCTCCAGTCTATGTCTGACTAGTATTCATAAACTTACTGTGAAGAAAGAGTTTGTGTTTGGAAAAGATACCTGGATAAAGTCTGTTTTGTACACAATATGCTTAATAACATCATGGAGGGCCAGTGTGGGAGATACTGTCTTTGCTTGTGAGTGCAGTGTGGAATTTCCCTGCAGTGTTACAAAGAAGTAGGCCACTGTCCAAATCTGAAAGACAGGCAGACAGTGTTTGCTGCAGGGGTTTCAGCTGAGTAAATTTAGACATGAATATCACAGCTGGGCTTTTAAAATAGCTAGGCCACTGCTCCTTGCCATAAATCTAAATCTCTCCACTTTAACTTTATTTTTCAGTTCTATTTAACCACAATATTGTAGTGATATAATTTTAAACCAATCATTTATTTTCACTACAGAGCTGTAACTCTAGCTTAGGGCATTGTTGTGCCTGGGAATTTCCTTAGATTTTGAGATGACAGGTGAAATTTCTCATGGTTTGCTTCTTTCTAATACCATTTCCAGATTATTGTTAGAAGAAACACTTTAGTTAAAGAGTGAGGAAAACTCTCATATACACTTCTAATAGTTGTTGTCAACTCTCACATCCAAACTGAGTTCTAGGTCTATGAGCTGTGTGCAAAGCACAAATTACGCTACTTCCCTGTGTTAGCAGCTCTCACACACAGAGGTGCAGCAGCTCAAGTGGCATATCTGAGGAGTAGCATGGAGTAGCACTCCCTGGGGGAGCTAACACCAGGCATGGGAAGCACCAGCTAGCTTGGTCTGCCAGGGATCTGAACTGCAGCTCATCTTGTAGGCAACTTAAATGTGTTAGCATCTCAGCACTGGCACTTTTACTTCAGCTGCTTTAGCAAGGAGCAGCCTCTAATCCAAAGACTGTAAGGGACTATGGGGCAGATCTTGATGATGATTCCCACTAGTGACCCTGTACTGGCATGTGCTGGAGTCCGTTTATGTGTTGTAGAGAATTGAGCATATGTGGCAGAGTGCATGGCTTTCCCTTCCAGTGTTCCAGTACATAAAAACATTGATTTTTGCCTTTGTCACCAGTATCCTGGTAAACATGGATGACAACATTATTGAGCACTACTCCAACGAGGACACGTTCATCCTGCACATGGAGAGCATGGTTGAAGGCTTCAAGATCACACTGACAGAGATCTAGCCTCAGGCAGAGCCTTTTTGTAAGGAACCACAGCATTTCATCCTTCTTGGAAAGCAGAAGATTTCCCAGGAACTTGACAGACGTTGATCAGAGAAACTGTTACAAAACTGCTTTTAAAATACTGTCCAGTCTGCACATGTGCACCCACTGCATATAGACTTGGGTTTGTCAAGCACAAGGCCACTCACATTAACCTGGTCCCTTATTTATTGTTCCCCACTCTCTAGTGTACAAGCAGTTACCAGTCCCCAGATTTGTAACCAGATGACCCACTGCAAATGTGAAACACAGCATTTTAATCCATACTTTAGTGTGGATAAGCTCATTCTAAAACATGTTAAAGAATCATGCTGGTCTAGTTCCAGACATCTGGTATAAATTACTTTAACCAATAGTTGTCTCCATCAGCGCTACAAAGCTGTTGCAGTGCTAAAGATGGGGAAAGTGGCTGACAGTTCACTTGCTCAGACTGATCTGTATCTCTATATAGTGTATAGTCTTGCCAAATACCTCTGGTAGTTCTCAGCATGTAGCAATGAGGACTTGTAAGTAAAGCATTCAGCTACAAATGTCACTTGTAATTAAATGGTAAAGAAACCATTTTAACCTTGTATATAATGTTTATAATATGCAATAATATATTTTAACTACTGTATGTGGGCACATTTACTGCCACTATGTTTTTGTATGTATTGGGTTTAGGGTTTAACAGAATCTTTCCTAGAGGATTAAATTGCTGCAATCTGTTAAGGGTGTGTACTGAGAAGCTGATAACTTAATCTGCACTCATATGCTCTATCCTTGCTCACACAGTTATATATTGAAATATTAGAGCAAACCGTGCTACAGCATCTTGAATTCTGTGGCACAACGGAGCCCACCTTAGGTGCCCAAGTCCCAGCTGTAGATACCTGAGTCTCCCATCCAGCTGTCACCGAATCCAAGAGACATCACATGTCTGCTGCCTGGTGTGCCTAGAGGTACAGAAGGAAGGCTCCCAAAGTGGCCTTTTCTCAAGCCTGTGGTGGGAAAGGTGCTTTCTGCAGCAACCTGCTCATTAAAGCATTCCTCTAGACTGTAAGAAACAGGACTTCAAACTCTTCCTTTTAAGGGTACTTGCTCTTGTATCTCCATTTAATGATTATGTTTTGATTCCTAAGACAGTTGGGTGAGGTATAAACCTGGGCTTGATGTAAATACTTTTATCAAAACTGGAATAATTTTGCCAGTGGAGACCGAGTATCCCACAACTGAGGCGTGGAGATAGGTCTCTCTCACAAGGGCTGGATCCGAACCCAAGTTGAACTACATGGTTATCCCATCAAATTCCACCCTGTCTCATGAATTCTGTGAAGAAATAAAATTGTGCAGGCTAGGATCACAAGGAAAGGGGTTCAAGGCCTGAATGTCCCTAGCGCATCCAAACACAGTACCTCTCTCTCTCCTTTCCAGCTCCTCTGGCTATTGTAGGGAGCTCCTCACTCAGGATATAGTCCTGTGAGTTTCAGCTGCATTTTATTCTCTATGCACTGTTCATGAGTCCTGTGTGACAGACAGAAGTGTGGGTCCTTTCTTACATGCAGCCTTTAGAGTTTATTTTTTTTCCTTCTGAAACCTTTTTTCCTTCAGTCACACAACCTTTTTTTATTAGGTGGTTAGTGGAATAAAGAAATGCTGCCTAGTTTAACAGGGCTCATTCTCTAGTGTTTTGAGCTGTGTGGAGCTATTTGTTATTCAAGGAAAGCAGCTGGGATAGCTGACTGGTCTGATTTGGCCAAGTTTTTGCATGCATATTCCTGCAAGCTATTGCACACTTTCTTAGCTTTATTAGCAATAGAATCCCATTAAAGTCTCTACTTCCAACAGAAATGTTAAGTGCACGTCAAAGTTCCTGTGGGACAAGAAACTATAAAAGGTTCAGGCCATTAGTGTCAGGGCTAACATACCCTGAATCCACATATGTCTGTAAAGCGAAGTGTGTGTTCTGTCTTCCTCCTGCTCTTTTTTTTGGTCATGCACTCTTTTGCCTTCTGATGCAGAGTTTCTTAGGAATTTCCTTAACTTTTTATAAAAATGCACTCCAGCAAAGATGCTCTTGCTACTCTGCTCAAGAGCAGACATCCTGGGAATACAGGGGATTTATGATGGTTCAGTGTGTTTCTACTTGGCTCAGACCGAGATAAAAAAACCTATGCTGACTTACCCCAGATACTTTTTTCCTCAGGAAAAAAAGAGGACAGTTTTGACAGGTGGCATTAGAAACTGGGTCCAGCACATAGGACTGGTGAGCAATGCTGTTAGTTCTTGTGTTTCTCTCTTGGTGTTTGGAATCCTCAGGATGTTAGCTGGGATCTCTCAATTGGTAATGACGTCTGGGAAGAAGCTGCAGGTGAAGCATAGGAGTAAATGTATGCAGGAATTGGGTCCTGGTTCTGCTCCCAACAAACCCGCTGTCCAAGCTCTCTTACAGGGAATGCCTGTGATGCCTGGGGCTGGCCCAGGTTGGCATGTGCTGCATTAAGAACAGACAGTAAGAATTTAGGGTTCGCAGAGAAGGACAGGCTGTCCTGCCAGCATCAGCACTCAGGTTAATGGGACATTCTTGTCGTACACCTGAGTGGAGATGAGCTGGGATCTGTTGGGTGCTGCAGCATCCTGCACCAAGGAGCAGCGTAGGATCAGTGAGAAGCTCAATGTCCAGAAATACTAGGGCTTAAGGAACTGTCTTTCCATTGCCATTTTAGGAGCTTTCAGTGAGCCACTGTCCAGAGAAGGAAAGTTGCTTCCAAGATTAACTGAAAGCTGTTCTAAATATGTCTTGAAGTGTGTGAATTCCTGATAGTAGAAAACTAATACTCCTGCCTTTACTTCCTCCTTACAGTCTCAATGAAGTCAGTAGCATTGAGGAAGACAAGTAGATAGGTGGTAAGATTATTTTAAAACAATGACTAGAGCTAGGTAAGGATGATCTCAGCTTTATCTGCCACGGTCCAAGGGCTTTGTTTCTCTGCTCTAGATGCAGGTGCATCACAAGCACTAAGACATTACAAAGAGTATATCAACCTACACCCCTTCAGCATCAGCTGCTGGAGGAGCACTGAACCTTGGATGCTGGTTGTGGCAAGCTACAAGTTCTCAGAGTTCACCTTGTTGGTCTAAATCATCCTGTCAGAGTGATGGGAAAGGGACAGTACAAGTACTGCAAACTTCTGGAGCAGTGGCCTGCTTTGTGCCCTGCTTGATTCAAATGTCTTGAGGAGTACATAGTGCTTGCATGTATATTGTTAAAATATACATGTTGCTTTCATTAAACAATGAAAAATATTGATTATTGCTGGATCTTCCAAGTATTATGCCTTAAATGGAAGTAAAATTTGGCTACTGTTCAGTGGGGGACAGGAATATCTGCCTTACCTCCTGTTGTCTCTTTGTGGCACTGCTGTGGTTGTTTATTTAAAGGAACAAAATTCTCATTTCCTTTCCTTCTTCAAGGCAGCAGTCTTGCATCTTAACTAGTGCAGCTTAAGTGTGGCTTGTTGCTCAGAGCATTTTCCCTGTGAAGAGTTAGAGTAGTGCAGTGTCTGTAGATGTTGTGCTTTGAAAGATCTGATAGAGATGTATGAAAGGAGAACAGTCTTCTAAGTTAAAATTTTGGTTCCTGCTACAGACTTGGTACTTTTTCCGTCCATTTGATGTTTTATTATGAAACCCCATTAAAATTCTCAAATTTTAGTTCTTTCTCACAGTCAGGTGCTGATACCCCCAAAATAAAGTGCATCCTTTCAATGAAGCTTTGTGGATGTACAGTGATATCCTCAGAAGACATTTTGGAGGATTTTTACCACTGAATGTAAACTATGAAGAAAAGAATGTTTTCTTCCTCTGTGTCCTCTCATGAAGTTTTTGGTCAATGGAATTCAGAGATCAAATATCTTTCCTATATATATTCCTCTTTCATTCTATGAATTGTTTAAATGTTGTAAATTAATTCAAACAATTAGTAAAATCTAAACTCTCTAGCTGTCAGAGATGCTGTATATTGATTGAAATGGAACTGGAAAGGAGTATCTTATGACTTTTAAAATGTAAAGCTTATTAAATGTTTATATGCTCTTCCATTTCCTGTTGAGACAAGATACAAACAAGAATGTTTGTGCCAAAGATTGTGACAAGCCGTCTTACTGGCAAACAAGGAAACTTTATGTATAAATAGTGTGCTTTTATATTAAGAATATAGCTCATGTAACTTAATAGTGTTGCAACTGGGAGAGGGGTTTGATAAACTGTAAATACAGTTATTTTATTTTTTGTACATTTTTAAGAAGGAAAAAATAAATATTCCTATGTATGAGATAATATTTCTGTTGCTGTGGTGTGTGTTACTACATCTGTTCAGGAGAGATAGTATCAGTATGTCCAAATACCTGAAGTGAAGTGCAGAGAGGATGGAGTCAGGCTCTTCTCAGTGGTGCCCAGTGACAGGACCAGAGGCAATGAACACTGACTGAAGCACAGGAGGTTCCCTCTGAAGTCAGGAAGCAGTTTTTTTACTGTGAGTGTAGCCAAGCACTTGAATAGGTTGCCCAGAGAGGTTGTGGAGTCTCTATCCCTGGAGATATTTAAAAGCTGCCTTGACATGGTCCTGGACAACAAACCCTCACTTACCCTGCTTGAGCAGAGGGGTTGGATCAGATGAACTACAGAGGCCCCTTCCAACCCCAACTGTTGGGGTCCACGATTCTGTGACGACTTGGACTGTCCTGGGAACCTGGCTGGAAGCACTGGTACTATCATCTTTGTGGCTCCAAGGCACCTGGAATGAGTTCCTTACCTGCATCTGCTCCTGCTGTGCCCTGGGTGCCGAAAGCACTGAAGCATACCTGGCTATGCATCTTGCAGTAAAACATTTTCATCAACCATTTTATTCTTCACCAGTTGACTTTGGCTTTTTAAACAAGAATCCAGGAGGTGAGAACATCTAAGTAAGTGGGACATTGCTTGGGAAAGCATTTGCCTCAGCAAAGGAAAGCTCCCTAGGCAGTAGCAGGGCAGCCCTGTCTTACAGTGGGGTGGAGGAGTTCAGTGCTCTGTATGGCTTAGAGTGAGCCAGGACCAGCTCCCATGGGGCTCTTTAGGGTAATCATGTTTCCTGGACAATGCCTGTGGTAGATGTTTAAATATGTTTTATAGGAAGTAATTTTACTGAGTGGCTCTTAAAACGTGAATGCTTTGAAGCTGAGTGGTTGGCAGTACTGCATCTGTGAGGCCATGGAGGAGTGTCAGCTGACGGGAAATGCTGCACCCACTGCATGCTCAAAAGCCTGACTGTTTCTGGCATGGCTGAGCCAGGGTTTAGCAAGGTGACTCACAAGGTCTTTAAGAAGAACTGACCCTCTCCTAGGAGTGGGGAGCAAAACACCCCTCCTCTATCTCCTGATTGAAACTTTAGGGGACTCACTGCAGCAGCAAAGCTGTTTTTCGCACCTTCCCTATCTCTTGGCTCAATTCAAGCTGCCAAAAACAGTAATAGTTTGTGGAGCATGCTATTTCCCAGATGAGGCCAGATCCAGGGCTAACAAGCTGATGAGACACAGGGTCTCAGATTCTCTCCTCCCTAAGGCACTCGGAGGTCCAGTCCCAGACTGTGGGGGTGCAACATGCTCCAGTGCCTGGTGGTGGCCATGACCAGGAGTCAGGCTGTGTCCTGGGACAGAAGCCTTGGGCTTTGCACAGTGAGATGCACAGGCCAGCAAAGGTGGTAAAGTGGAGGATTTTAGCATCCCTGAGCAAATAAATACCTCCATACACCCCAGCCTTTTTATACTAAATTGTATTAGGGCCCTAATAGGAGACCGAGGAGAACGTATATCACAGGGAGTTTGGCACACTGGAAGTTCATGCAATAAAGCTGGTTTGAAGTTGCACTGAGCACAGAGGTACCTGGACACTGTAACTGATGCTCCTTCCAGGCTCCAGCCTGTCTCAAGCTTGTATTAATGTGCAGTTCCACAAATAGGCTTTTTTTTAATCTCAAGAGGAAATAGGCACTGGTTTCTGTTACCTTCCCGTGGGATTTAAACTACTTTTAGCACTCTGGTGCTAATCCCAGCTCCAAATTTAGCCTAGGTAAAAGTTTGTGGAGTTTAAGGAGCATGCACATGAGCCAGCCCCCTCCAGAGCCTGTCTGAGGCTGGCAGGAGTCCCTGCTGGGACAAGCTCTGCTGCTACCTCATGAGCCACATCTCAGAGCAACTAACCACAGCTACCACTCTACCAGCCCGTGCTCCCTTGCCACATCCTGCCCCCCTGATGGTGTGCTAGTCCTTAGGGTAAAAAAACCCACCCTAAACCTGGAGAGGGATTTATCTGTGGCAGGGAAAGTTGCTGTCAGTTAGCTAAGCTGGTCTTTCCAGCTCCAGAGGACCAGAGCTTTCAGCCTTATGCTGTCCTTCCTTTGCTTTTGTAATCCACTCCGTGCTACCCTACTCTGTGCCCAGCTGCTGGCTTTAGCTGCTGGAGGAAAAACTGTGTTAGCAGTGGAGAGCCCAGCCGGCTGCAACGTGCCGGCACAGTGCCCATGCACTGCTTAAGCCCTGGCTAAGCCTTCCAAATTGGCTTTCACAGCTGCTGACCCTTTGCCCATGGCAGTGAGTGGAACAGGAGCTGTGAAGACAGCAGGCAAAGGCTTCTCTGAGGTTTTCTCAGCAAACCATAGGGCTACGTGAGGCTTTAAGGCTCTAACATGAAGGCAGTAACAGCGCGTGGCACAGCATAGCTAGCTGCAGCAGAATGTTTATTAGTAGGAAAGAACATTTAGGGGATTTCAGTAGGTCAATTTGTTTGAACTATCAGTATCCACCATACATTGGTTTTCATCAAGATTGTTCAAGGTTACATATTTATATAAGAAAACAATAATTCATATTTAGGTGCAATCAGTAATTCCAGTATGAAAAAGCACCATGTCACAAAACAGTTTACAATACAAAAGTCTTCAAAATCTAACATTTAAAAACAATATATTTGTTCAACAGTAATAACAATACAGTAAAAAAATTCTTATTTCCCTTCAAACAATACTGCTTATATATTTTGGCACTGAAAAAGAAACTATCACAAATGCGCCTTTTTAACCACACAATACTGTTTTGTGAGTGTCTATATAACAAGGAAAAACATGCTTTTGAAGTCAGTCATTTTGCCAGGTGCAGTTTGAACTGCTTTCTCCATTAAAAAGAAAAAAACAAACTAATAGAAAAAAACTCCTAAGCTGCAGCATGTCTTGACTTTTGGCCCAGGACACAATCTGGAGAAGTGTCTCTCAGACTCAGTCCATCTAGTAAATCAGCCCTGCCTGAAAGGCTGGATTCAAGCCCCATTTCCCTCTCCAAACCTGACAAGAAATATAGACCTAAGCCCCCCAAGGGGTCCTGTCTTTTAGGGACTGACCCCAAATTCTTGTTATATTAAGCACCCCAAAAAGATTCTGACCTTAAAATTACTGTTCAGGCTCTTCTTTTCCTTAATTGCTTGATTTCCCCAAATTTTGGTTAATTAATTTTAAAGTCACTTGCACAAATGGTCTCATAATGTGAGCCTATGGGTTTTGTCCTGGTAGAGCCAGCAATTCCAAGGAAAACTGGATGTGCATGTGCATGAACTGAGGGGGAAGGGAGCCTGATGCCAGCAGGGTGCCCTGGGTCAGGAGACATTCCTCCCAGGTCTCCTCCTGGGGCCAGGTCTGGCACACAGCATGAGAGGGGGAAGCTTGAATCTGAGAGAGTGTAAGACAGAAAACTAGACTTCTCAGGAAGAATTAGTTTCCACCCAAAACTGACCCCTATTAAAAGAAGAGCGCAGGTACTACGCGCCGGGTGAAACACCGGTGCCTGCGTGCAGCTATGATGGCCCTTGAAAAAGGCTGATTCTAGTGAACATGCAGTCGTTGGTGCTATCTCTAAAAGCTGAACAATAAACAAACAAACAAAAAATTTAAATAGTTTTTACATCCTACATCAAAGATGCCACTACAAAAACACAATAGCATCACACATTAATTAGTACAGTCTTAAAAATGCAAACCAACGCTGGTAAGACTCCCATACATTCTGCATATCATATGTACAGAAGATAACAGCTTCTCGAGAGGAGAGGACAGTCATAGGGTGATAATCTTCTGTTTTCTGAGTACGTTGCATAATACAAATACATTATCAGCATAAGAAAACTTTAACACTAAGGGTTCAAGAAAGGTCCTAACTGGAAGCTAATAGCAAGGGGAACCGTGCACGTGCTGGGGGCACAAAACATACACAACCCTCCACCAAATTCTGCGTCTCCTTCGGTGGCCTGATCATCTGCTTCCATTTTACCAGGTAGGTTTCACATGTTGCTCTGCAGGCACAGAATCCCAAAGCATACAGCAGCACAGGGCCATATCCCCAAAAGCTGCCCCTGATATGCCTGAAGGCTGCTCACCTCTGCATATCCTTTCATGGGCTTTGCCTGGCAAAGAACTAGCTGGAGACTTGGAATACCATGAGATAAGCTTACAACAGAACCAGGGGGGAAAATTAACACATCACGATACCTACAGGCAACTACACTCAGGACACTAGCAATTCTAGACAGCCATAAGAAAAATATGTGGACCAAATTAATTTAATTCATAGTTGTCCCTCTCCTTTCTGAGTGGTAAAAGTCTTCCTTAAGATATGTAGGTTTGCTTACAAAGCATTCATCTAGAGAGGTATCTAATTTTGCCAAGACACAGGATATGCTGAACTCCATGCTGCTGCAGTTAGTCTGCCCATGGTAGATTATTTAAAGTTTCATTTGGTATCTCTATGCTGCAATGAGGCAACAGCCTGAGGGAACAGAGATGAGAAAGCTCTCCCTGTGGAATGGTCATGGATTTAAATAGGAACTGTACACTTTGATCCATTCAGCTTTTGGCTGTGGTTTATCTCAGTTTATTAGTTTCTACAGCATCAAAAGTACCTGCCCAAATTTAAACAAATTGTTGTGGTTTAACCCCAGCTGGCAACTAAGTCCCACAGAGCCCCTCTCTCCCTCCCAGTGGGATGGAGAAGAGAGTTGGAAGGGAAGGGTAAAAGTGAGAAAACCCATGGGTTTTCTCAGTTTAAAGATGGTTTAATAGGGAAAGCAAAAGCCCCATGCACAAACAAAGCAAAACAAGGTATTCACTCCCCAGTTCCCATGGGCAGGAAGGTGTTCAGCCATCCCCAGGAAAACAGGGCTCCATCATGCATAATGGTGACTTGGAAAGACAAATGCCATCACTCTGAATGTCCCTCTTTTCCTCCTTCTTCCCCCTCACATCT